TTTCAAGTTTCCTGTTCAAGTTCTTCTCAAGCTTCTAGATTCCATTAATAATACACTATCATTCTCTTTTAAAAACAGTCATCAGTTACAAGGAGATTCCTCCACTGAGCAAAACAAACCTGCAACTCGAAGGTCACAGGCCAGGGCCAGCTCTAATCCACCACCCAAGGCGTAGCCATCGATTGCAGCRATTGTGGGCACAGGCAGGGCAGCTACAGAAGAGAGCATAAATTGCACTGTTGTGTTCCAGGAGTTCTGTTCCACACAGCTCTGGAATTTAAATCCTTAAATTCTAAAGCTTTTAGTTCAAAATTGCTCAAGAACTCTTCTGACACAAACTTTCTCACTGTCTCAAAACAATAAAAATGGTCTTTTTACACTTATCCCTTCTTTGTAAGAATGCAAAGCATRCTTCTTCCATGCAAAGAAGCTTGCAAATATAAAGTACTGCAACACAAAACAGGATGAATTGTCTCCTTGCAAATTTATRATGCAAATATTCAGCTGTTGTAGTTAAACAGACAAAGCAGACACCATTCCTAGTCCCTATCGTGAGGATCAGTTTTTCTGGTGCCTTTGTTAGCCAAGGCTCCTGAAAACGGGAACAATAAACACTGTTGTTTACCTCATAGTTGAGCAACTTGATGTAGCTGGAGATATCTGCTTGAAACTTTTTGAACTGCTCAGAGAGCTGGTTGCAAACTTCAGACACAATTTAGTTCTCTGCTGTAATCACCCCTCCCTGACTGCTCCTGTGACTTTTTTAATTACTGCAGTTCTGATTGGTATTTTAGACAGATTTCACTTTGGTATTTCTCTCTAGTAAGAGCAGAATAATTCATAAATAGGAAAATGAACATTAATTGCAGAAGTCCATATTACTTTTGCAAAGAAAAAGAGAATGGGGTGGGACAGTTGTAGATACAACCCCCCTGACATTCCACAAATCCATTCAGAGATTCAAACCCATGTCCTTAATTCACTGCCAATTCCTGAGTGTTTCCGAGCATGTACTGAGCAAGTAGGACAAGCAACATAGCCCTGCCTGCCAAGGATTCCACAGAAATGTGTATAAATGCTTTCTCAGAGCAGGTGTTTATTTCATGGATGTGCATGTGTTTTGTCATGTATAAGAAATCATCTTGTTGCAGTGGCAGCAGGATAGCTGGTATTCAATTCTAATTGGATCTTCATTTTAGGCATAAGCTGAAGCCATTTGGGAAGCTATCCCTAGGTGGATAACCTAGGTGTATAACCTTCCTACAGCATTTCTAAATGTTTTGCTCCAGGCGCTCTAGGATAAATTTTCCAACTGAGATAATCCTTTACCTATTTCATCCATGAGATTTCTCAGTCTTCTGACAAACTCTCCAACTTCTGCATCATCCATCTTCGCACGTTCCTTTAAGTCTGCTCCTAAATAAAGGAGAAAAGGGTTTGAATCCAGGAAAAGACATCTGAACTGTCTTCCCTCCAGTCCCTTTCAGAGGACAGACCATAAAAAAATGTCTTGAAATACAGTGTTCTGGTTAAGTGAGGTCAGTGGAAGTTGGAGGGTGGACATTTGGTCTGCAGCAGTGACGAGAGAGCTCCTCTATCCTTTCAACAGATTTCTTTATGCATTAATTTCCAACTGCTTTTCTGCATGACCTGATCAGCACACATTCCATAAGAGGAATCACATTTTTTGAGAATAGTTTGCAGAGCCTTTGCTACTCACCTGCACAGAACACTCCTTTCACCTCACTCTTGAACACCACCACGCGCACCTGCTCATCGAAGCGGAGCTGTTCCAGGACACGGAACAGCTACAGGGAGAGAGTGCAGACAAGAGAAGAACAGCTTTAGGCRAATGGATGTATATGTACACCTAAATCATAGCAAGCTCCTAATCTGTGATAGAAGTGCATTGTTTATTTTCCCTGCAGGTGGCAGGAAATTCATGGAAATATTGTAAGTGGAACCATCCTYCCAAGACCAATTCAGAATGACACATTTCCCCATCTCTTCTTTCCTTCCACTCAGAGGTGAACCATTGCTGTATCTAAACTCCCCTTCCTGTCTAGGCATCAGCCTGACTTTCTCTAGAATGTATCATCCTCAAACAGATCACCTGCTAAGGTGTGATAATATTTTTGTTGTAATTACACAAGTAAGGACATTAACTTGCATCTGAGTTAACTTCAATAAATTAACTTAAATTAGATAACTTAAATAACTCCAATATCTCTGTGCAGCCCACATCTGAGGTCACTGCAGGAACTATTACATTCTTTTTCTCCAGGCTCACCTGCCTTGCCCCAAAGCAGTCTCCCACTGACCATCACGAGATAAGTTTTTATTTTAGATTTCCTGCAACTATTCTCATTGATGTTAGTTATGGATCATGATTCCAAACACGCTCACAGGCCAGGCCCATACTCACTTCATTTACAAATACTTTTCCCAGTGAATTTCTCGCGTGGGGTCGGTTCATTAGGATTTCAGCAATACCTTAGTAATAGGAGACAATTTCAGTTATACTTCATTTAGTTCTCTGACAGTAATTCAACTGGGAATAATATCTGCATATKCTGCATCTTCTCCTTCCTGAAAATGCATATAAAGTACATTCTAAAACAATCAGTTATTTTAAAAGTGGATGTGGCACAACACATTTACAAAACCCAGTTATGCAGAACAACTGTAAAATTCAGTAGCACTGTAAAATACTATGAGTAAGCAGACTTTTAAAAAATGAACAGGACATCCAAAAACATATATCTTAGAATCACTGCAGAAATGGGGAAAAAACCCAAAACCCAAACAACAAACCAAAACCCAAATGATCCATCTCAGGTTTCTCTTTTGAATGTTAATTTAGTTGTTACTGTACAACTTACTAAGTACATTCTTTAAGGAAGAAGACCATCTTCTTGGGTTGCTGTTTGCATGAGAGCAGCATAGACAGGCCACTCTCAGTTCATGTTCCAGAACAATTTTGAAATTGCAGCTCAAATTAATTTCARCTTTATAAGCTCATCAGCAGAAAGGACTCCACTCAAGGATCTTAAGTCCAAGCAGAAAAACAAACCCGCAACATCTACCTACTTCTCCTTTGCACATGTGATTTGTAAATTATTATCCAATTCCTTCTGTGTGCTTTGGAGAGAAAAAAAAAACCACCTCCCATTTCCTTGTCAGGACTGCTGCTACCTTCCCAGGCCTTATAACTGTAAGATGTTGTTGCTGTGCTGTAGGTGCACAGCAGTACCTTGCACCTGCCTTTCTCAGTCTTTCTGACCTGTTGGAAGGTTTCTGTTTATTCCTCTGCCTATGTCAGTGGCCAGCTACTGAACCACATTGGAATGGAGACATGGGTGACAGCGCGCACCAGCGAAGCAAATTCAAGGCTGGGTAACTACTTAATGTCTTCATAGCCAGCAAAATACCAAGAACTGTTTATAAGTTCTTGCAACAGTTACACAGAAAGCAAATTCACTGGCAATCTGAACCAAACCTCAAACTGTGGCTTTCATGGATAAATGTGCACAGACATTYCCAGGTCCTATCCTACTTTTAGCACTGTATGTTATTGCTGAAGGAAAAATGTTAAGTATGCAAACCAGAACTTCCTGCGTTGAGCTCTCCTGCACACACAACTTTTTTTAAAAAGTATCTAGCTATTCATTCGGTGTGTGCGTTCTTGATAAAAAGTATCAAGGCATAACTGAAAGCAAAGCAACAATGAGCGCTCCAGGGCTGTCACCCCGGCTCGGGCAGCGCGGCGCTGGGAGCACAGGACCCCGCTCACGCCAGGCCGGGCGCTGAGGCGTTTCCAGCAGGAACTGRCGGAACCGAGCGGCCGGAGCCGCCCCTGATCGCACTCGGAGCCCCGGCACTCACCGCCGCCGGCCGCGTTCAGCAGCACCTCCGCGCCCCGCCGCGCCTCGGCCGCGTCCGCCCGGCCCCGCGCCCCGCGCAGCGCCGCGGGCACCGCCCGCCACAGCCGCAGCATGGCCGCCGCTGGAACCGGCACCTCCGCCCGCCCCGGGCCGGGCTCCGCGCTCCGAGCTCCGCCCCTGAGGGAACGGCCGGCCGCAGGGGAAGGCAGCAGCGTTTACACAYCCCTGCAGTGGATGGGTGAGGAGACATTCGGTGCCTCAAACGCCACTGCCAGAATCTTGGCTGAAGTTTGCACCTAGATCTATGGAAGGCAGGAGGTGTCTGCCTTTCTGCCCGAGCCGTGRAGATCCTCAAGGTGGGCAGAGGGAGGGAAAGGGAAGGACACCTGAAGTGTGAGMTGATGAGGGTCAGCGCAGCTCTCACTGTAAACCCATCTGTGAGTAACAAGCAGCATTTCAGAAAAAAAGAATGATTTCGTCAAGTAGCCATCTGAAGACATCTCTGGAGGAAAAGAATCACTCAAATAGGTTTGAAAAGACCTCTGAGATCATCAAGTCCAGCCTATGACTGATCATCACCTTGTCTCCTCGACCATGGCTCTGRGTGCCACGTCCAGTCTTTCTTTAATCACCTGCAAAGACAGTGACTCCACCACCTCCCTAGGCAGCCCATTCCAATATGTAATTACCCTTTCTGTGAAGAAATTCTTCCTAATAGACAACTTARCTCTCCTCTGGTGCGACTTGAGAACATTTCTCTCATCCATTCGCTTGCTCCCTGGGAGCAGAGCGTGACCCCCCCGGCTGCACCCTCCTGTCAGGGAGTTGGGGAGAGCGGGAAGGTCCCTCCTGAGCCTTCTTTTCYCCGGGCTGAGCCCCCCCRGCTCCCTCAGCCGCTCCTCACAGGACTTATGCTCCAGATCTTTCACCATCCTCACAGCCTTCTCTGGGCCCGAAGAAAAGTGGCTTCCTTGCACCTCCGCTTTGGAAAAACGTCGGATAATCCCCAGGCCGGGGGGGGATTCAGGGGATAAGCAGGGATGTTTGCAGGAATGGCCGTGGATGTGCTATGGACAGGTACAGCCCGGGCCGTGCCCCGCCGGGGGCGCTGCTCCTTTAAAGGGCGGTGCGATGGTGCCCCGCAGGGGGCGCTGCTCCTTTAAAGGGCGGTGCGATGGTGCCCCGCCCGCTGAGCCCGCCCCCGTCCCCTCTGCCGGTGTCGCTGAGGGCCCGGGGTCGCGCCGGCAGCAGCAGCAGCCTGAGGAGGAGAAGGGTCTGTCACCAGACATCGCCAYCATGCAGCGCCGGGTGTTCGTGGTGGGCGTCGGCATGACCAAGGTACCGCCGCCACCGCCATCCCCGGCACCCGTGTGTGTGAGGGGGACACGGCCCGCGCCAGGCCGGGCTCGGCGGCGCCCCCCCGGCTGTCCCCTGTTGGCTCTCGGGGGTGCTGCGGGAGCAATCCGCGCCCTCCCCGGTACGGGTGAAGCCCCTCACGGGGTGCGGTGGCACCTCCGGAGCGTCCTGGCAGGGCCGTGTGGTCCCGGCCCGGGCTGCATCGGCTCCGCGCAAAGTTCACCCTCGCTCGGCGTGTGGGGAGGCCGGACCSCGGCCAAGCTGAACGCGGTGCTCCGCAGAGCAGGTCGATAGAGCAGCCTTGCAGCGGGCACAGTGTCCCCGTGTCCCCGCAACCGCTGGTCCTAAGGGGCTCAGGGAGGGCAGGGGCCCTGTGGGGTCTGTCCTGGGTGTTTCTGTACTTGGCCCTTGGGTTGTGAGTGCACAGTTCGCCCCGCTCAGCTCCTTCACAGCTATCCCAGAGCAGGGTGCAGCCAGGCGAGCGTGGGGCTCTTCTCTCAAGTGACAGAAGAAGAGGAACTGGCTTCAAGTTTCCACAGGGCATGTTTAATGTTACAGTTAGGATGAGGATTAAGTAAAGTTCCTTCATCGAAAGAATTGTCAAACCGAGGAAAAGGCAGCCCTGGACAGTGGTGAGACCTTGGAGAGACCTGAACCCCCAAGTAGAAGTTCACTTAGGGGCATGGTTTAGAGGTGGATTTGGCTGTGCTGGGGTAACAGTTAGTCTTTTAAATTTTTTCCTAAAAACGATTCTGTGATTTTCAAAGGGAAGCAAAAGCTGAAGGGACCATTTTTGTCTCGATAGATGAACCACAAGACAATTGACAATCACCAGAGTTGTCAGGAGCTCCTCCCCCTGGCCACCTTTTAAATAGTAACTTTTTTCTTGTTGCTGCTTGGGTGTTTTTCCAGCGTGTGAGGTGATAGGGGCAGAATTGAAAGGTTAAAGACAATTCTGTTGATTGTGTTTGTTGGACTGGATCACAGAATGTAGTTACAGAAATTATTTGGCTTCACCTTGAGCTCACTTGTGATGTGCTGATGGAAGAGACAAGTAAAACCTGTCAGACACCGTATTGCATTGGAAGTATTTCACTATGAAATCTTTTAGGACTAAATTGTTTCTATTTTATCAATCTTAATGATGTAATGACTGCTAAAAATCGTTCCATCTTCTCACAACAACAGTCCACCTTTCCTGTGCTTGTAACTGTCTATTCCAGAATGCTGCTCATTTTCAGAAGTGAATCATCTCAGTTATCAGTTTAGCATGATTTGAGGAATTGTCAGTACTCCCTTTCCCTCTCTGTTAGCCCAAGCAGCAWCAAGCAATAGCACTTGGAAATTGTAAAGATTTTGTGCATGCACTTTTGAGTCAATTAAATTACATCATTTCCATTATTTAAAACTGACTTCTAAATTAAATATAAAGCTTTTTAATATACAAATTTGAGCAGAAGATTAATTAAATCTYACTGTGATTTATTCTTGGGTTGTTTTTCTTCCTGTTCTCTTGCCAGTTTTCAAAGCCTAATGAGAAGAGCGCTGATTATCCTGACATGGCTAAGGAAGCAGGTAATTTARTAATAAAGCATTTTGTTTGATTGCTGATGCATATTTTAGGTCTTACAGTCAATATTTTTATTACACATATGAAGGAACAATTACTGTTCAGTAAATAGRTGCATATAAAAAGCAGATCTAAAACTCAGACCACTTTCACAAAATCTATAACTGACTTGTCCAACTCACTGCCTTTCAGGGCTCAAGTCAGCAGGATGGCTTAAAAATGTGTTGTGCACCTAAATAATTTAATACTTACCTATATTATTCAAAACATATTTTCATTGGGATGAAGAACCTTGGTGCATGAACATAGAATTGATTGAATGAAATTTTCTGATAAAGGGGCTTGTTCAGAACTCAGAATACTGTGAAATTGTCCTTATGAGTATGAAATTGCTCTTATGAAGTACATGACTATATTAAACATTTGCATCACACAATAAGAAATTTCTACAACTCTCTTGTTTGTGAATGCAGTAATCATACATACTACTCTAGATTTGCTTGTTATGCTTGTTAAAGCTGCATTTATTTTTCCCTTCAATTTTAACCTTTTTTTCAACTTTTAACTGTTTTTTAGGCCAAGCAGCTTTAGCTGATGCTGGGATTCCTTATTCAGAAGTGAAGCAGGCATGTGTGGGTTATGTTTATGGTGAGTAATGTTGTTTGATTGGGATGTGACAGTTGCAGACATCTGTGTGGATGAAGTATGAGGAATGCCATCAACAAGCTTTCTGTTGAGAGGAAATCTATTTCCATTCCAAAGAGAGTTTTCCATTTACTTTCCTTCTGGTTCTCCATTAACGACTATTGTGGCAACTGAAGTAAGGTCAATCTGCTGTGATACCTAGAGCAGCTTCCAAGCCACACCTCTAAGACCTTTCTGTCCAGTCCAGTTATGTCCCTTGGATTCACAACCAGTTATCACCAAAACAGAGCAAACTTCTGGTTTAAAAATCAGAGGAGTTTCTTGTTTCTAAAGTTCTTTACTTTGGACATATGAGAACCRTACTCAAGGTGACAGCTCAGAAGTTCAAGTTTACAGTTTAATTGGTAGCACTGCACATGCATGGCAGGATTTGCTTTTGTGAACAAAGTTTGAGTTTGTACCTTATTTTAATGCTGTGTTTCTACCTGAAGGTGACTCAACCTGTGGGCAGAGGGCGATCTACCACGGTCTGGGTCTAACTGGCATTCCCATCATTAATGTKAACAACAACTGTGCTACTGGATCCACTGCTCTGTTCATGGCCAGACAACTTGTAGAAGGAGGTGAGTTGTTTTGCACTGTACACCTAAGTGACAGGCTGGGATGCAGTAGGATGGACGTACAGGTCTTTTGCTGTGCCATGAGCTGTATGAACCCAGTCAGTAGTGCAGTAAGTGCTTCTGGAATAACTGTTTGGAGGAATTCAGAGCAGATTGCATGAAAGTACTGCAGGCACTAGATTCTGCAGAATGAAAGGGAGAGAAGAATCTGCTAAAATTCTAGTTTTTTTCTTTTCTTTTTAACTTGAAGTTAATACAAGTGTTTAACACATTTTTGGAAAGGAAGGGAGAGAGTAGACTGACAGACTATGCTTTGAACAGGCAGATGAGTATTTCCTCCTGTTTTTGCAGTTCCTTTGTGGATTTGGATATTTTCTTGACTTAAATGCTGATGTTTCTGTAATGAGAACTATAGTAACATTGAGTATGATTGTTCCAGTATTTGTAGCTGAGACGTAAATGCTCAGTTGTCTATGATAGTTGCTGTCAGACAGTTAAAAATAAACCCTAATCCTGTAGTGATCTCTCATTCTTAAGTATCAATATGTTTGTATCAATACCTTGTCCATCTTAATTTGGCTCTCCTTCAAAAATAAAGAAGGAAGGGTGTCTGGTTSGTGTTTGTATAAATGTCTCATAATGGAATAGTTGTTAGTACATAGTGTCATTTATAATCACATTAGCCTGTAAATAACCACAAAYSCTATTTTAAGGTTTGGCAGACTGTGTTCTGGCACTCGGMTTTGAGAGGATGGCAAAAGGATCCCTTGCTTCAGGTGTAAGTGTCTGAAAGTGTTGATCTATTTTGTGTTTGTAGATGAGATACACCTCATTCTCTGAGGTGTAGTCTCAGTAATACCAGTTGCTGTACTGTGTTGATGCAGATKATGACAAAAGAAACCAGTATTTTAATCCACAGTATTTTTTAATGAGTTTTGTGATTCTGATGGTAGCCATGACATACTACAAAATATAAATTCTAAAACATTCCATGCAAAATTTGTGTGTCATGTTTTTAGTATTTTGCCAAGATTATGTTATAGGCTGGGTTAATGGGGAAAAAYGAAAATACCAGATAAAATATTGAAGCTTGGAGTAACTGAAGTGTCTTTCTCAAACAACACAGCARATCAAAGAAGGAATGGCCTAATGCTTACTCAATTGGCCTGTTAGCACACTTTTCCAAAACCTAAGGGCTTCTTAACTCTTACTTGTTTTTCCTGGAGAAGTGTGTGGGGGTTTGTTTATATTTTACCTTAAGGCAAGCTGTATTAGAGCCCATATGTTATTTAACTACAGAACTGCCAAATTTGATAATATATAAAAGGGTTTGGGTRAAAAATGTTAAATTCACCAAGTGACAAAAAAGAGCAAGAGTTATCTTTTAACATGCTTTACAATATTTCATCTAAGCTTCATTGAAAATTCTGTTGACTGTGGGATTTTAAGTGAAGTGAAAAATACCTAAAGTCCTCTGATTAAAATAGTGACTGTGATAGAAATAATGTAGCAGTGATCCTTGCAGTGCAGTGATTATAATGAAAGAAAGAAAAGGAAATTATGATTTATTTTGTATTTCTGTTTTCAGTTTGCAGACAGAACTAATCCAATGGACAAACATGTGGAAATTATGATAAACAAATATGGCCTAGCAAGTGCTCCTGTGGCACCTCAGCTGTTTGCAAGCGCTGGCAAAGAACATATAGAGAAATATGGTCTGTTAAAATACATTTTTTTTCATTGTCTTCTGTTAATGAAGTGATTTTAAAATAATAGGATTTTGTTTTAAGAAAATGTTAGCATTGAGGTTGCATAACTTCCTGCATTTTATCCCTGTGCCTTAGGATAGGTAGATGGGCTTGGGGCTGAAATGTTTGGTAAAAGCTGTGGGGGATTTAGTTTCATTTAATATCTAGTACTTGGCTGCTGCCACTGCTGTTTGTAACCCCCTCACCAGACAAGGGAATTGGCTCTGAGGTAACAGCCTGGCCTGTTGTGCATCTTTATTTGCACTTATTTTTAGACTGTTACATGGAAAAATTTTAGACTCTAATATTCCACTGCAGCCATTTTGCCCTGATAGGAAAATGAGCATTTAAGTTTCAGTCATATAATAATCTGTCAAATAAAATGCACCTATATTCTGTGGTTTTATGTAAGTGTTAAATATGCAAGTGGCTTGTTCTGTCAGCTAAAACTCAGCTTTGTTTAGGAGTCTTTATCTAATTTTGAGACCCCGGTTGAATTCTAAGGAAAGCCTTCATAACAGTGTGTCTCTTGTAAAGATGCTGGTAAAGGTCAGATTCTTATGACACAATATTTAAACTGTTRTGTTAGCACTGTTTGAGCAAACAAAGTATTTCAACACAGCTTTCTTTCCCCTTTTCAGGGACAAATCCAGAATACTTTGCGAAAATTGCATGGAAGAATCACAGCCATTCAACCAACAACCCGTGAGTCAYCTACTCTGCCTCTGTAGTGAACATCCCTTGTTAAAAAAATTAATGCACAAAAAATTAGTATTTTTAGAATATTTTCAGAATATTTTTTTTATTATGGAATGGGAAAAGAAATAAATTATTCTATAAAGATATAAAAGTAAGTTCTCTATCTGGTGCCTTATACTTTGTAAAAACAACTCTATAGCTGCCTAACAGTTTGATTATTAGTATGTCTGCTGCTCAAACTTGGCATCTGTGTGTTTTCCTTAGGTATTCCCAGTTCCAAAAGGAGTACACATTAGATGAAGTTCTGCAGTCTCGCAAAATTTTTGATTACTTGACTGTCTTACAGTGTTGGTAAGGAGAGGACTTTGCATTCTGAAATAGATCTTGGTGTTAAGACAAACATGGTAGGACATCTATTTAAATAAACTCTGTGTGTAAATAAAAATTTACAGATTGCTTTAAGTAAAACTTTTTATAAATAAAACAAATGTGGAAACTTTGTCATGACCAAAGGCCAGATACTTGTTCACAGTGTAATACAGTGAGCTGAAATATGCTTTGTACTTTGGGGTTCTCAGGTAATTCTGTATCTTTTTCTAATGTGCATCTATTGTTGTTAAATGTTAATTCTTCTCTTCAGCCTTTTCTATGCATTCTTAGAGGGTGAATATATGTTCACAGCCAAGTTGAAGCTTTAATTTTTCCTAAATTGGAAAAACTTAATGATACATTTATATTTTGATATTATGATTTTCAAATATCTGGTATAAATATTACTGAAAATACCAGTAAGCATTGATGGAATTTATAGTTTCAGTGGTATCAGCCAAAGAAAGTGGGGTTTTGTTTGTTGGGTTTTTTGTTTGTATTAAAAGATAAATCTATGGAAGATCAACAATCTAATSAAGATTGACATTACTAATTTAGAATAATGACATCATGATTTTTCTTTTAATCAGTCCAACATCAAATGGTGCTGCAGCTGCAATTTTGGCTAATGAGGAGTTTGTGAAAAGGCATAAGTTGCAGCCAAAAGCTGTGGAAATTCTAGCCCAGGTGATGGCTACTGATTATCCAAGCACATTTGAAGGAAACAGTTGCATGAAGATGGTAGGTTTACAATTCTGTATTCCCTGGTWCCCATTGGGGTGTTGTTTCTGAGGTTTTTTGTTTGTGGTTTTGGGTTGGTGTTTTGTGGTAGTTTTTTTGTTTTGTTTTTGCTTTAGGTTTTTGGTTGGTTGATTGGTTTTAGTACCTGCAAGTGCTAATGATGCTGTGACATTTTCATGTTAGCAARCAAACATATTACACTTTGTGGTGAGTGTAAAATTGATTTAATTTGGACAGATATGGAGTAAGCAAAGAGTATGGTTGTGGAATGACAGTAAGTAAATTATAAACAGGCCATCAGAAGCCTAGTTTTAAACAAATTATTTATAGGCTATTTTGTAAACAACTTGAACAACCAAAGAAAATTTCTTYCATTTTTCTGTTTGTAGTAGTAATGAAACTTAAAATAATCAAGTGGATCCTAGAAAAAAGTAACAAGACAATTTCAGGATTTGTTTCAATGCTGTTGTCTRAGTCATGCAAAGGAATAATTTGGCTTGTAAGCAAGATTGAGGAAATAGAGGATATTCCCCAGAAAGGTTTTGCATGTCAACAATAAGCTTTAGAATGTATTATTTCTTTCTAGACAATTTGTATTATGTGAATGTCAAACTCTGATATGTGATGCATCAAAAGAAATCAGAATGCCACCTCATACAGGTTACTTCTACACTGATGGGATCAGTAGAAGTACATTTAAAATGAAATGTAGAAATAAAATTGTGAGCTCTATTTCTGTAATGATATTTTAACATAGAATTTCTTCCTTTTTTCAGGTTGGCTATGATATGACTAAAAGAGCTGCACAAAAATGTTTTGAAAAGGCAGGCCTAAAACCTGCAGATGTTGATGTGATTGAGCTTCATGACTGCTTCTCAGTTAATGAATTTATCACCTATGAAGCTCTGGGACTTTGTCCAGAAGGTAATATCAGCATTATAGATCACAGGTTTTTTTTTTTTTTTAATGGACAGAAAAAAAAAATCCAAATTAAAGACTCCTCTGATTTTCCCTCCATTTTCTGGGCTGTATTCTTACCTACCCCAAGATTTCCCTCCATCTATATATTTCCTTATAAAAAGATAAAAATGGGACAAGAATTGCCTGTGGAGGGTCCTARCAAGTCAGTGATCTTTGAAACATCTTTGCCTCAGAGTTGTTGGCAAATTGTCAAGTGTGTCTAAAGTCAACTGTGTAACAATCCTCAATCTGTCCAGATTAGTTTAATGTCAGTGAATTTGGTAGATTTACAACAGGTTAAATGGCAGCACAATTTAGCTCTATGTATATAAGTAAAATGATTAAAATTTTCCACTGAAGAAGGTATTTTTTTGATTTCAAATAAATAATGAATTGAACTACTACTTCAGTTCATTATATATTTAAATTCTAAACATATTCTTGCTTTGCATAGATTATCATGTAATACAATTTTTTTTTTAACTAATTGTGAGAAAATACCATATTCTGACACTAGGTGGTATAATAAGTCCGAACTTTCTTACTGGAACAGCATTCAGGAAACTCCAGGAAAACTTCTGATGTGTTTATAGGTCTTCAAATATTTGCCTTTGAATGTTTGCTTTCTACTGTAATTTTTTCTGTGTTTTTATGGTATCTACAGTAAATGTGATATAAGCAATTCTCATCAATGTAGTTTGGCTAATTTCAGTCTGCTCTTTGTGAAATATGATTTGTAGCATTTCCTAGGTTTTGACTGACATGTAGCATCTCTGGTAAGTTACAGCAGAATTGAAAAATCACAAATAAAAAAGAAYATTTTTCTTACATAAATACTGTTTTACAGGAAGAGCATGTGACCTGATCGACAGAGGAGACAATACTTACGGAGGAAAATGGGTTATTAATCCCAGYGGTGGCTTGATTTCCAAGGGACATCCTCTTGGTGCCACAGGTATGCAAAACYATTTCATTTTGTCACACCCATTAGATGAGAGATACAGCTCTTGAGCAGGCAGGTGCTTTCCACTCTTGCTTGAAACATTCTTCCCAGTCTCCTGCTTTCCAAATAAGCCAAGTGTTAGGGCTGGTTGACACAGCTTAACCTTTTCTATATAATTGCTCAATAGTACAACTTCTGATGAATAGTTTGAATAACTATTCTAATATGATTTCATCCTTTGAAAATTTTAAGTTTGGAGGTTTTCACTGCCTCTGAATAGCCTGTGCCACTGTTAGCTGTATTAGAAGCCAATTTTGTTAAGTCTTAGATGTCAAAATATTTAGCTGATGTTTACAGAAGCTCACTTGGTCACCATTCCCCAGCAACATAGATTTGTTTTTTCTTTGTTTTTGTTTTGTTGTTGTTTGGTTGGTTGATTTTGTTTTGCTTTTTTCTTTAAACCACTGTGCTGTTTCTAAATGAGTTGGCTCTTGAATGAAATGTGTTTGGATCGTTGAGGCTAATTCACCTTCCTTGTTTGGAAATGAGAAGTTGTCAGAAAACTGGAGATTAAACCTTGTAAACCACCAAATCTTAACCTAAACAGTTGTATCACTGAGATATAATATACAGTTAGTGTGGGGGGCCAGGGAAAGTGTTAGCAAGCTTTAGGAAAAAAGGGTTCCAGATAAATGAGWCTGTGGGTATCTGTAAGAGGATGAGAATATTGCGTTGCTGGGTTTGTGTTAATTTGTATCAGTTAGACTGAGATAAAAGTAGAGGCAGTTACCTGCATTGCTTCTGCATTGCCATGGGATGGAGCAAGAGTTATTAAAATGCAGAAAATTACATGTCTCCAACCTGTAGGTTTCATTTCCCTTGGGAACTGTCTTGAGACTGGTTGCATGCTAATCAAGGGTCATATAAATCCTCTTAAATATACGAACCATTCCAGGGCAGGCTGCACCACAATACACACTCTCTCCTGGAGGCTGAATGTGAATGAAACCTGTTCATTCTCATCTATGTCTGGAATTTTAAAATTCCTGCCTCTACTTTTATACTCCTTAACTCATCCTCTTCATAATGTTCAGTTGGCAACGTGTAAAATTCAGTGTTGAAATGCAGATTCCTTGTCTGCCTTGTCCAAAGACCTGTGCAGTTGTCTGKGAGAAGGGGGAGAAAGGGATGGAGGGAAGGAGAAATGTGTGAGAAATGTCCAGAGAAGGGCAAGGGAGCTGAGGGGGAGGGTCTGCAGCACAAATCTGTGAGGAGCAGCTGAGGGAGCATGCAGGACTCAGCCTGGAGAAAAGGAAACTCTGGGGAGACCTTCTCACTCTCTTCAACTCCCTGAAAAGAGGTTGGAACCCAAACAGCTAGAGACAGGATGAGAGGATACAGCCTCAAGCTGCACTARGGGAGWTTTAGGATGGACATCAAGAGGMATTTCTTCACAGAAAAGWTGATTAAACATTGGAATGGCTGCCCAGRAAGGTAGTGAAAYGTTGARGGAAAGACTGSMYATGGCACTGAGTACCGTGATCTAGYTGAGAAGCTTGGTGCTTGGTCATAYGATGRTCTTAGARCTCTTTTCCAACCTGATTAACTTTGTGATTCTGTGTGTGCGGTGGAACTTAGGGCAGAAAGAGCTGACGGAATTGTTGGGGGAGAATGAGAGAAAGCATGAGTGTCAGGGATGAGAGAGAGTCAGGGTTGCGAAGAAAAGGGGTGTTCCCCTTAGTTTGGGTTTCCCCAGTTCACTGTGGGCAGCTCGGATACCCAGAAATGTCTCAGATCCCATTCCCTTTCCCGGTCGCTGACGCGCTCTGCGCTCGATGTTTCAGGGCTGGCGCAGTGCGCGGAGCTCTGCTGGCAGCTGCGCGGCCTGGCCGGGCGGCGGCAGGTGCCGGGGGCGAAGGTCGCGCTGCAGCACAACCTGGGGCTCGGCGGGGCCGTGGTCGTGACGCTCTTCAGGATGGGCTTCCCCCGGGAGCGCAGGTGAGCCGGGGCTGACACTGACACTGACACAGACACACACGGGGGCTGCCACGGCACGGGGGGGAACCGCGGGCTGCGCTGCCAGGCCTTCCGGAGCGCTCRGCTGGGGCTGCGCGCAGAGCGTACTGCTGGCTGTCCTGCTTCCTGTGCCCTCAAAACTTGGTTATTTTAGAGTTATTGGCTGTCTCTGCGCAAGGCAGAGATCGTGCTGCGAACTAAAACACTCAGAACTTGTAACTCTTGTGTAGCTACAGCACTGCAGGTATTTGCTGAGCTTGCAACTTACTATCGTGTCATAGTGTGCACTGGGAGTTTTTGGAAAGCTCAAACTGGCTAGTAAGAATGGCTTATGTGACTGTCTGTAAGGAAAAGTAATGTTCAGAGGAAAAAAAGCCACCAAACAAATAAAAACCCTTCCAAGAACAGAACAGGCCACACTAAAATTAATTGAAACTAGGTATCTGCCAAAACYAGCAAGACATCCATGGAAACAGAGAAACCACTGCTTTCACTGCTGAAATCGTTACTAGTTTAGCTCCATGRAGAACTGCTTTCAGCCCTGTTTCRTGTGATGCTGTAAGTACTTCTTGGAATTCAGGTGTGTTATTTGCCCAGTCCTTGCTACAGAATTTGCACTTGCAATTGTAGCCTATTTCAGAGGGAGAGGAGAAAGCTGTTGTGAAGCTGTCTGCACTCTGCTGTTGTATTTCTGTGCCGGAATGGACAGGAGTTGAGAGAAAACACTTAAAATTTGTATTATAGTAGTATTGCAGGGGAGACTTTTACAATACAGTTCCCTTTTTTTTTTTTTCCTTTCAGCTTTGCTTAGAAAAATTGACCTGCCCATTGTGGCCATTATGGGCATTTTAAAACTCAATGCCAAGACTTTATATTTATTTTGAAAACCTGTGAACAGTAAACTTTGTTATAGATTGGCCTTTCATAAAGAAATGTACGCCTCCTTCCCAGCTCATATTTCTAATGTTTGTACAGTTCTTGGGAGGTGACAATATAATTTTGTGGAAGAGGTGATGAGAGAATCCACTGAACTTTGCAGGGCTGCAGCAGTGACTTTTTGTAGCATCAGGAGTGATAATTATGTCTCTTTTACAATCTATTAGTTACCATGTGAGAAAAAAAGATATAGGAAAAATATGTCTTCTSATGGATTCCCTTCAAACATGCTCACAAAACCTGTCAGTGGGTGTTGGTAGAGTTTAAAATCTGAGGGAGAATGAGGGGAAAAGACTGTTACAGGGAGTACAGTTTTCTTCATTGCTTTGAGCTTTGTCTTTAAAAATACTGTCACTTTATGGAACAGAGAAACTGTTGCTATTTTTATATCATCAGCCTTGAGGTGCTGCTAGAAGTAGTCCCTCCTGTCAGGGAGRGCTTTTCATGTACGGATAATATTTCTCCTGAAGAAACTAAGTCTAATTTACTRTGTCTCATTTCACCTTTGCTCGTGTTCAGAATTTTAAAAATACTTTAAGTGCAACTCAACCCAGAGAAATCTTAGCAATACTCATTTCATCTTACTCCAGAGAAGCTTAAAACCCTTTAATTCTCCCAAAGGCTGTGTGTGGGAGATCCATGACACACRAAGTTGCACCAATGTATATCAGACTTTGGAATGGAACAGTGTGGCTGATGTGCTCAGGCGCCCCTTACGTAACTGAGTTATGAWGTGCATTGTGTAATTAAGGGAAAGGTGGTGAAACTTCATGTTTGTGAAGTTTCATGTTCCTTCACATCAGTTTCCTACAGCAGTGGACATACAATTAATCTGATTCCAGATCAAGCCTGTGGCTTCAGTAATAGCTGATAAGAATGTACATCAAAGCAGCAAGACTTGATCCATTTTGCATTAGTTTTTGAAACAGTTCTGTGTTTTGTTTGGTGGTTTTTTTGAGCCTTACAGTTTTTCATCCTGGCAGTRCAGCCTTGGTTTATTGGCAAAGTGAATGTGTCTCCTTCAGACAAGACAGTGCCCATTCTTGCTACCCTCTCACACATCTGGAGGGCGGTGTCAGTACCACCCCAGTAAGTTCCAGCAACATTTCTTGAGCAGTTTGGTCACTTCAGCAGTATCAAACCTGACCACAATTTTGGACTTTGCTGCCAAGAGATGGTAATAGCTGTAAACTTGTTCCTTCTGCTGCTTGAATTGCCATTGCTTTGGATGTTTCTCTGTACTTTGGCTCTTTGTGCCCCTGCAGAAATGAAGAGTTAGCTTTCATGCTGCTATCTGGCCATGCAGGGTGATAGCTCCAGAGTATAAAAAATAAGATTAATGATTTACTTTCATTATAAAATGAATTTTCAGTTCATGCACATAAAATATCCAGCTACCTGGAGTGAATCAAGCTGTCAAACCTATCAGAGAGCAAACTTCACTTTGATACCAGAGTTGCTCTATACTACTAAAATGTTTCTTGCTGGTGTTAGGCCTATTCATGATCATTTGAAGATGCTGCAAATGTGATTTAAAGTATTTAAATTAATATTTTTTTTGTTTCAGCACCGGCCGTATTGCGGCTGTGCCTCTCAGTGCAGCTGTTGATGGATTTAAATCAGATCTGGTCTTCAAAGAGATTGAAAAGAGGCTCCAAGAGGTATTTGACTACTTTTTTACCTACAACAGGATTTTAAYTCATAACAGAATGTGTGTGAAACCTGATGGGAATGTGTTAGCATCCATCACATCTTCAGCACCTCTCATTGAAACAAATGTACAGATTTGGATTTTRCCAGAAATCTTTCTACACTGTGCCATGATTTTAAATTACTTTTTTTTTTCTGGATAGTTCCTACCCACACTAAGGCTATTCCAGTTGAGGCAAGTCTAGGTTGTATGTGAGGAGCTTGCAAACTAACCGAAGAAACTTTTTGGTTGGTGTTAGGTGCTTGCTATGTAATGGGATTAGAAGATGAAATCCAATTTTGTCAAACTTAGGTCAGGACAAGGCTATTAGGACAGTGGTAACTTTTGTTAATTTAATAGATTTCAATATAAATAGTCAGTCCTATTTGCGTTTGTTGGTTTAGATTTTCTGGATGGTTGTTTAAATGATGCCTAATAGGGGGTAATAGATATTTTTATGTTAGTAGAAATGGGGAAGGTTTTAAATTTCTTCTGGTAAATTCAAACTATCTGAAAATTATGTTGAAGTAAATGACTAACTTTCTCATTCCATGGTCATTACAGGAAGGAGAGCAATTTGTCAAGAAAATTGGTGGAATCTTTGCCTTCAAAATAAAAGATGGTCCTGGTGGGAAAGAAGCAACTTGGGTAGTAGATGTGAAAAATGGTAAAGGCTCAGTGGCAGTTAATTCAGGTCAGTGCTCTTTTATCATATCATTACAAAAAAAACATATAAAACTAATGAATATACACTGTTTAAGTTGTAGTGACATTGAGCAGAAATTACGTAGAGCTACCTTAATTTTAAACTTCTAAAATCAAAMCTCAGGAATTTTATTGTTCTCACCTCTTGAAATTTGGGSCAGAAATGTAATTTGTAGCTGTTTSTTCAGTTGYTTTGTTGGAGAYGCTGGTAAGCAGTAAGCTGGTCTGCCTTGCCAAGTTACTTCTTTACAATTTATCAAAGATGTAATTTTAATAATAAGATGAGTGTAGGAAATGATGTGTGCAGGTTTTAGCCCTTTAGTATACACATCAGTCTTTATATCAGAGCTTATTAAAATAATTTTCCAGCTTATGTCTAATAAGAAGATCCTAGAAACTTCTGTATTTGAATTAATTCAAATGAGTGYTTTTAAAATGCACATGTTGTTCCCATGGAAGAAGAGGGCAGGAAATGCCTGAAATGTCAGTAGTGATTATCTTCAGAGAGTGTCACAGGGGAAAACTCATCTATTCTGAGCTGATCTTCATACTAGCAAATGCAGGCTTGATAAAACCGAAAGTATTGTCAGTGCTTGCAATGAACATTCTGTCTGATTACAAGTAGATTATMATTTATTTTCAAAGAATAAATTGGCTTAGCTTTTCAGGAAGGTCCATCTTTCTTCACTGTTRGGGTGGTCTGTGCTACAAGGTGGCCCAGCTGCCTGTTGGCTTTGGGTGGCTTCTTGCTGWTATTTTTATAATGGCTCTTACTTGTACACACTCAGGTACCATTTGCTGACCTGTGGTATGAAGGGACTCTCCACAGACTTGTGGCTCCCATAACTGTTTAATTCCTCAGTTTGAACCTTCATAAACAACTCCTGTCTTGCAGATAAGAAGGCAGATTGTACAATCACAATGGCTGACACCGATCTGTTGGCTCTCATGACTGGCAAAATGAACCCTCAGACAGTAAGTACAGCAAAGATGAGATAAYCAGGGGACTGATTGGTTTAAGTTGAAACCTTTTCAGTGTTTTCATCYGAAACTGCCATGGCTGATCTGAAAAATGACAATCCTTGGTGATCTCTGAACAAATCAGCCAAAATAAGATTGATCAAGGACAGTATCTACTCATCTGAACAGGGACATATCTCAGATATCCTGCAGGGAGGTATCCTGTGTTATATCCCACAAGGGGATGTAATAGTGCTTGCTTTGCAGAGAAGAGGGGCAAATCAGTTTTTGTAACATGCCATAAGAAAMAAGAAATGTGGGCCTCTGTTTGGAGGGCTTTACCCTCGTACCTGACATTAGTGTAAGGAGTCATCTTGATGCTGACAAGTAGAAATTGAGGTGAGCATCCACTGGATGCCTGTGATTATTTGTTTTTTGTTTGTTTGGGGTTTTTTGKTTTTTTTTKGTTTTTTTTTGTTTGGTTGATTTCAATTTTTTATTCCTCTATGTGCCAAAAGCAGTCATAGTGTGCAAGTAAACCAGATGTTTAAGCCAATTTCAAGTTGCTGTGCTGTGCTTCCAAGTTTGAAATGATCTGTGTAACTGCTTCAAGATTTTTGTCTGGTAATCATGGGGTAAATTTTGCCAACTGAAGTATGTCTAAAAGAAGTTTCAAGATAAAACACATTGTGAAAATGTAATATACATGTAGAAAATACAGAAGCAACTCCAGCTTTACATCTACAGTTTGTATATTTTGGTGCATGCAGTTCACCTTTTAACAAGGTCTGGAGGAAAAGATTAAAATCTTTTGCATGTCTGCTTCACAAATGAGATTTGTAAAATTGAAACAAAGCCAGCTAAGGATGAGGAGGATTTGAGTTAAGAAATCAGTTGTGGCACCTTCTGTCACTGTGGCTTTATTTTGTGCAATTGAAATAATCAACTTGTCTGCCGTGAACACTCACAACCAAAACTTGGGGTGTTCTGCACAGATCTATGGTTGGATAATCCAACAAACAAGCAATACCCAGTTGATTCTCTTTAGRTATCACAAACCTAGTAAGAATACAACTTCCTCAGTTTGCTGTTCTACAGTCAGACAATGCATTTGTTGCTGAATGTGAGGTGTCTGCCAGAGCTGTTGGAATTACCAAACTGCACATCCATAATAGCCCATAACTGTCTGGAGAGGTGATTTTGGGAGTGTATGTTGTACTGCATTTCACAGAATCTTCTTTCTTTTCAGGCATTCTTTCAAGGCAAGTTGAAGATTTCTGGGAACATGGGCATGGCAATGAAACTTCAGAATCTACAGCTTCAGCCAGGCAAAGCTAAACTTTGAGCTCAGTAGAATAAATAGTCAGTACTTGATATTCTTGACAGAAAAGTAGAATGAAACTAGACATTATCAATAATATGGCACAGGCTGGGTTTGATTGGACCTCTCTCACCTAAAATCTGCGGTTAGAGATCTTAATTCTCTTAATAACTTCCATCAGTTTCTCTATGGCTAAGCTTGAGACACTAACACTTACAAATGATACATGGTGGGGTTTTGTGACTGTTTTTGTTCTAATCAATATGGACAATTTTGTAAAAATTAGAGCTGAATTAGGCTGCTTACTGTTGTTCAGGTTGGTTGGGAAGGAAAAGAGGAAAGTTATAGATAGTTTGACATATCAATGAAATGAGTTGCATTTTTTAAAGGCTGTAATAACAAGTCATACAAATGCTTTCAGACTTCCATTCTAATAAATTTGCTGCTGCTTACATTAAAGTGATCTTGTAAAGGGGATCTCTAACAACATTTTTTTAGAATAGGTTTTAGGAATTTGCTATAAAATACTTTTCTTATTACTACTTTGGAATTAAAAGAAAAAAAATCCAGAAGTAAGCAGGAACTGGAATGTTGCTTTGAGGTTCACAGGATTTGATGATACTTCACCTTGAAAACAGATTAGATTTGCCAGGAGGGCAGAGAGAGAATATAATCAAGGTATTACCTGTTTTCTCCTGGTAAAATCTGGTGTTGATCATGATGAAATTCTTGTCAGTAATGTAAAAGCTTTAAGTTCTGTTTTGGGAAAATGTATTCTGGTTGGATGTTTAATAGAAAATTAAATATACTTTTCCTGTTCTTCTGTGTGTCTCTTGCTCAAATTTTAAACGTGAATTTCATGGTAATGTACTGAACTTGAGTGTTTCAATCAGGTTGTCACAAAGGACACTGCAGACATCCGCTTCTTCCTCCTCAGCCATTGTTAGTAGATGCTCCATAAACTTCATCTCAGTCCATAAAATATATCTCATGTCCTCACATACTTGGGCTATGACTGAGGAACTTACACTGAAACTTTCACTTCCCTGGTTTAACTGAAATAATAATAAAAATGAGCAAATTCAAGCCAATCATTCTCCTTCCTACTGTGAATGGTGACAGWTTGCTGAGCAGTAAGAATGGCCCTGCTGAATCTTCTGGCCCACTGGATTTTTCTCACTGTGGGTACCTTGGAAGAATATGAAGATGGCCCAATCATTTGGTTACTCAGAGTACTTTCCTAACTGCCAGTGGTTGTCATTTTTTTTRTGCCAGCTCACAAATTTGAGCCTGAAGTGGTATGTTTGGATTGTCCAGTTTGGACATGAGTTTGTCCAGTCCCTTTTCGAATCCTTGGACAGCTTTTTTAGCACGGATCATGAATTTCTGTACCTACACATCATATACAATTGAACTTGCTCCTTTCTATCCTATACATTACAGTTTTACACCTCTTTGTTTTTTGGGGCTTCTTTTTCTTGTCTGGGGTTTTTGTGGGGGCTTTGTTTTTTACGGGGAGAAACAGTGAACACCTTCTGCAGAGTACTCCCAGTCTTTATAGTCTTGTGCTGTCACCTTCAGGTTTCACCACTTAAAGAGGTCATTCTATTCTCTGTCACATGGAGAGACCCTTGTCTGGCCATCCAGCAATCCTTCCTGTGTGCTGCATTCCCATTGTCCTGTTGAAAAGTTGTCAAGATACAAGAGCATTTTCTGCTGATATTTTTCTTTCCCCAGTTGCTTTTCTGACCACTCCTAGTTTTGCAGTGRTGTTTTCTTAGATCTCTTAAAGCTGGGGGCTCATTTCTTTCATGCTAACTCCGTGCTCATTTCTGCACTGTGAAACTGCAATATTTTTAATTATTGTTCTGTATGCATCAGTTCATTTGTACTGAATTTCATCTGTCTTTTACTGCCCAGGCACTCAGTGTTCAGCTCTGGTCTTTAATATCTGCATGAATCAACAWTTGTGACCCCACTGTTCATCTTTTCCAAGGCATTAGTTTTCTGTTAATTAGGACAAATAGGGCATTGCTCCAATGTCAACTTTGTAAAGTACAGTCTGGTCAAATGAATCAGGTTTCTTCCTGTRTATTGTTTATTGACTTATCTAAAGGATTGGAGTAGATAGGAGTCATATCTCTCAARTAAAAGCAGTGTTTAACTCCCTGTAAAATAACATTTGCTATTGTATCCCCTGCTTTTTCCTAAGTTCTTGCCATTTGGCTTGTGGGTYAAAATAAAGGGGAATTACAGGATTGCAGCAGTAATTCTATGCAGAAAACAATTTTTTCCTCCTCTTGAATTGCTGATACTAACTGAAGAACTGGCAGATGTCTGTTACGCAAGGTAAGAACATGCCTTTTTCAAGAATTTTGAGCACAGACACAACATGCTTTTGACCACTGTKTAATTAAGGCAGTAAATGAATTTTGAAGTGTAAACAAGATAACATAGATAATAAGTAGTCCATCCCAATAGTTCAAGTAAGATGTGCTCAACTGTATAGTGAGATTAAGTTTTCTTAGGGAGGAAATGTTGCACAGAAATATGAAGGGAAAAAATGGTGCAAAAATAACTTTTGAGTTTGTTTGCTACCAAGACACATAATATCCATGGCTGAGGCCCTGGGCTTCAGAGAAATCTGGGTTTAGACAGGACCGAGGCTTTCAGGTTGGAGCACCTGCAGATGTGACATCATTATAACACAAAAATGCCAGATGAAGCCTTCAATTCCCATCAGCAGAAGGTAGAGGGAGTAGTGCAGAGGTTAACACAGCCTGCRGCTGGGAGAACTGCTCAGGCTTGTACTCCTCTTGCAGGATTTGAGATGGAGCAAAGGACAAAGTCATATATTTACCCCATCTACCTGCTAATGTCTTACTTAGACATCTGTCTTGTATGCCTTCTTCACCTTCAGCACCTTTTTTGTGTTAYAACTTGCTGAGTAATTTACATATATAATGCTTCCCCTGATTTTTCTGGGAGTAAGGCAGGGGGTGTATTTTCTAGAAAYCCCAAATCGTCCATGTGCAGTCTGCAATGTTAGAATATCATAACTTTGATTCAATAAACTTTACAGTGGATAGAAATAACTTACTCTCACGAGGAAATAGGCAAAGCTCTGCGGTACAAAGCAGTTTTTGACATTATTAAGTTTTATTACTCATTTTTTGCATAACTCAAAGCATTACCTAAGCTCATACCATTTTAGAAATCTTGCTACAAAAGTTATCTTTCTCACTCCCTAATGCTCTGTTCACCAAGCAGCATTAAGGCTCTGTTCTCCAGCTACAATCCCCTGTAGCTTTAGATCAGCCTTTTTTATGAAGTTTAGTCTAATTCTGCAGAATTAGAAAGGAAGCTAGAGGTACCAAAAGGTGGCCAGTCACTGGACATAGCAATGCTTTAATTTTCATTTCAAAGGCCTTGTGTATAGGAAAATAATTAATTGTAATCTTCTAGGCAGAGGGTTTGGTGTTCTTAGACTCCCAGCTCACATGTCTAAATCTCAGCTTTAGACATTAAAATACATGGGAGGGTTGTTTGACCTTCATGGACTCTGCTGAATACTTCTTACCCTTTACAGCTATTGGTTTGGGGGTTTTCACAGCTTTAATAAAAGTGTAATCATTTGATGGCCAGAGGTGTTAGCAGGTTGGCAGGTATCTCTTTATTCCTTTTGCAGAATACGTGTAATTCTTGCAGATWGGAACTTATATTATAAAGAAAAAAGTAAGAGAAGCAAATGATTTGTCAGATTTGGAGCCAGTGAGCAGAGTAATTCCTGTCTTAGCAGATTTGACTTGCAGGAATTTGAGTGAATGCTTTGGTTTTGTAACACAGATTTTAAACTTATACTCGAGTTCTGTGTTTTCAGCCCTGCTGCTTTGCCTGATTAGAAATAGGTTCAGTGCAGAACAATAAACTTTTGAAAATGCACGTGTGTGACACAGTCTGGCAGGTGGCATCATGGAGGCTTTACCTGGTACAGGGCAGTGTGGGGTTCCAGCAGRGTGAGGAGGCTGTGAACAGCTGAGCACAGATCTGGCAGCTGGGTTAAAGAGCTGGCTTTTTGGGCAACAGATCATTTCAGGATGCAGGAGGATGGGACAAAGGGCCTTGACTACATCTTCCCTCTCAGGATAGAAAAAACTGCAGATAGTCACAAGGCTGGTTTTGTCCATTTCCCATATGTCCAATTCATCTGAGGTCARATTAAACTCTTACCTCCTTGGAACAGGAAATCCGTCGCTTCCTGTTCTGCAGAGCACCGAGAGCACTGCATGTCAACTCTCGTTAAGCAGAAAAGGGTAAGAATGCAATTAGCCTGGTGGATAAAAGGCAGGGAAAAGTCTCTTAACTATGAAAAATCAACACTTGAGGAAGCAAACCACATGTGGAGAACAAATGCTGGAAAAAGCCCCAACTGTTTGGAACAAATGCCTTTATTACTAAAATAAACAGCAGCRTAATTTGTTGGAGTGACAGTGTGAGCTGTTCTGTGCCCTGTATCTGTAAGAGGAATTCATCGCTAATTTGAAAGCAGATGGCTTTGTATGGCCCTGGGTGGGTTTTCTGGGAAATGTTAGTTATATGCTGTGATACAGGAAGAGAAATATCCTAATAATGCTGCAGCAGGCTAAAAGGAACATGGATASTATAAAACAAGTACAAAATATGCTGTGTCTGCATCCCATATTTCAGGTAGATTAAAAGCAGTCATGGATTTTTAATTTTTTTTTTTTTAAACCATACATATCCTCTGGGAGAACAGACACCTCAGAGTTCATTTGGATCAAGGCACAGATGCCAATAGGCTCATGGCCAGGCACTGTTGTGAATTCTTAGGTTTGAAAAATACTTCCCGTGCTGCTTTGGAGACAAAAACCCTTTTTTACTCCTTGTGCTTTGATTATTCATTTTTTTGAAGCAAAATGACTGCAAGTTACTTAGAAGAATTTTAATGGGKTTTTTTCTCTCCTTTTGTATAAAGGTACGATATCAGCACCTAGCACCGAGCTCCTCGGGAATGCCAGTATTTCTGTGGAGTCTTAATCAARTAAAAGGTGAGAATAAAGAACACTTTGTTACCTTTTAAAATACAACTAAAACTTAAATCTCCAGAATGCCTCCTGCCTCATTCCAGGCAGATCACGAGTGAGCTGATGGCTGTAGAACCACTGTTCTTGCAGCTCATGCCTCAGTAGATCTGCTTATACCTTTTGTTGTCTGCCATGTTGCTGTTTGATTGGCATGCCTGTTACTGAGTTTATCATATTATCATATCACATCTGCCTGTTTAGGACAGTGACAGTAGTTGCAAAGTGAGAACTGAGCAGCTCTTACGTGGAATGTGTAGCACATGGACATGGCCTCATGCTGAGGGCTACAAGAGTATCTTTGAAAACTTAAGAACTCAAGGTAGCCAAGCCTGTCCTTGATCACCACAGGGGATTTTTGCTGCTGGGCAGTGCAGAAGGTTGTGKCCTGCACAGAGTGCTGTGAGCCAGGCCCATTGCAAAGCACTGTTGTGACACACACTGTCACAACTGCCCCAGAAATTGTTTGCCCAAGGACCTGGTTCTCTGCCATCTCTGTGATCTGAAGAAATAATGGTACCAAAGTTTAAGCTGAGTTTAAGTTTCAGTTTTTAAACCTGGAAATGTTTYTTCATGCAGGCTGCAGCCACCACTCAGGCCCAGCAGCAGGGAACATGCAAGAGAATGAAGACTCAAGTTTGGAGATATTTCCTGCAGCTTAWTCTGTGCTGTGAGTCTTACAGTGGAAATTGTTTGCTCTGAAAGCTCCAGAAAGATGCAGTGAACAGAAACAGTGGGTGCTGAGCCCACATACCATGGTAGAGCATAGCGTTTGGCTCAGTGGTGTGTCAGAACACCTTTGGATTTGACTCCAGCTCTGGTTTTCCTGGGAATTTGTGTGGATGATGGAAATACAACACTGGGTCTGGAGAAGGGAGATTGTGAGTTTGGGATATGTTKATGTAGGAGAGTAAGATGTGGAAGAAGTGAAAGCATGAAGAAAAAGGCTGTACAAGTAATTTGTAGAATGGTGTAAGGGTGTGTTACCTTTGCACRTGGGATCTGGCCTGACACTTGTGTGTCTGTTTCCCCACTAAAGGAGGCACAAYGTTCCTTTCTCTATAATGTCCCGTGCTTCCCAAATGATACCTGACAGCTAATTACTATAYTTCTACAGCAAAAACACAGATAAAAATGCACTTTAGGAGAAKGGTGAATGCTGGTCACTTCCTCTCCCTTGTGGGCTGCTCTGGCATCAAGAGTGAGTGGGTTAATGCCCCTACTCCTCCTTTGTGCCTGCAAGGAAAACATAGTGATCCCCAAATATAAGCACTGTTTTCCTCCTCCCTGGAAAAAAATGTGCACATTTTGTTGTATGGACTCAGGGTACTGTAATACAGAAAGGGTAGCAGGCAAATGTGTCCTGGATCACTGAGTCACTAGGAAAAAGCAGCCAGCTTTGTTTTGTTTTTATTTTTGTTTCAGTAAAAAAACACTTCCCACTCTAACATTTGAAACTTCCACGTGGCACACAGGGGGATCAGTTGCAGTTGATATAAGCCTGGATGAAGAGAGGGAGGAAATAACTTAATTGCTTTAGACTTCGGTTCAGCTGGAGTGGAGAGGAAAGAATCAGTGTCCCTTCTTTGGAATTCAGCAAGAAGSTTGTGTTGTTGGTGAGGACAGATCTTCTGCAGGTTTTGTGGAGGTACTGTATGGAGCACTGTGGGACACTCACAAAASAGGTGGCTTTATATTTAATATAGTAACTGCTGTCAGGGACAAAAAGCTGTGTTGCTTTCCTGGGAGTATTGCTGCACCTGGAGCATACTGTTATCAGCTGTATGTTCCTGTTCTTTCACCGAGAGAGGGGAAATAAGAAATGTGAGGCTTCTGGGCTGAATGTGTGCGTGTGTGTGTGGTGGAAGGTTCTGATGTTAGTGCTGAGATGTGGGGCATGGGAAACAAAAAAGATATTGGGTGTTACAGCAAATGTGGGGACTTTACCTCTAAGAGATTTGCAGTTTCAGCCTATTGATTGCTAGTCCCTGAAGATCAGTTGATGTATTGAAAAGGAGGGAGAGTTATAGGGGAAGGAGATAAATGCAGGGAAAACTGCCGATCTGYCTGTTCCTAGCTAATTTGAACCAGACCCCCAGAGAATGGGAGGACATTCCCACCTGGGATTCAGATTTGGGTTGAATGCATCTAARCTTGAAGATGTAGTAAGAGTGCAGCTCCAGCTCCTGCAATGAAATGAGAAAGCTCACACACGGTCTCTGCTTCTCTTCTGCCAATTCCTGCATGCTGGCTTTTGGCTTCGCTCACGGATCTTGTAAACTGTGTTGACAAAAGTAATGGGAGATTGTTTATTTCCCAAGTCTTTATATTCAGGCCATAGCTGCTTCCTCTTTCCTACTCACATTTTCCCATATGGTGGCTTTGGAAAATTCCTCTTCGCTTTCGTTGGGAAGTACAGGAAGCTCTCACTGGTAGAGGGTTGCCTTTTACTCTCTCTAATTCTGCTGCTCACATCTGGAAAGGATCTGGCTTGGAAAGGGGAGACTCGCTCTGAGCTCAGTGCATATTACTGACATGGCATGAGCTGAGAGAGCCTGTGAGGGCAAGAGAAATGTTCTTCCCCATTCATCTGATTTCTGACGGCAAAGGTGAGTTTTCTATTTTTTTATTTAAAGCTGGATTGTCAGAAAACCTGCAGCACTAGCCTGCCTTTCTGCTGCAGCTTTTAGCCAGGATACTCAGTGTAACAAACTCAGTTAAGCTGTTGATTTTGAAGGAGAATCCTCTCCTTCAGTGGATGTTTTTCCCATCTGTGTGTGTGTGTCCTGTGAGAATGTATGTGGAAAGTAATAGGTAACAGAGATGAGATATTTTGAAAGTGATTCTGTTGTTTACCGGGGTAGCTGTACTCACTGAGAAGCATTCAGTGACTCCTGAAACTTCAGTTTACCTCTTGAGACTGTGCCTTTTGTAGCACTCTCATGCAGTGAGGCACCAAAGGGCAGGTATCAGTTGTGTCTGGATTCAGAAAGATGCAGCCACAGAAARCCTTGAGCTGATTTCAGTATCACTTCAATCTTTGGGTGGCGTAACCTGATCCAAAGCCCACCTGCAGCAAGGGAAGAGGACTGACTGTTTCTAGTGGGTTTTTAGCTACTCCTTCAGAARCTTTCTTAATAAAGCTTTGAATCAGGCCCATGGGGATGAGTTGAAATGGAGTGAGTTACCTCAGCCTTTCTTTGAACTAAAAATCACAATCTTGCCTGGCTTTACTGCCTGCACTCCAGATGTACACAGATGTTCCTGTATCCAAAGTGTCTCACTGTGTTAGAGCAGCATTCCCTCCAAAGGCATTGTAGCAGACACATACATATTGATAAAGGGGTGAGATTGCCTCAAAATCTTAGTGTGCAACAGATAGAATATTTCATGTTAATTTTCTAACRTCTTTCAGCAATAGATGTGGAAAATTCAGCATGTTGCAACTCTATAGAGTCCAATACCAACTGCAGTGTAACAACTGTGCTATAGGAACAGCACTCGTGTTGTTACAGCAGAGTTGATTGTGACCTGTACAATAGAAGTTTTTTTTTGTCTATAGTTTCTTTTCTAAGTATCTATAAGGGTGAGCTGTTATAGAGGAAAAATAGTTTCTTAGAGAGCTGAAATACTTTCTGAGATKATTTTCTCTCAGATTTCTGAAATATTTTCTGAGATTAGGTCACCAAATACTAAGGATTTTATTAATCTGCTGTTGGCATACTCACATGGCCATTTTTGGTCTCGGTGTTAATATCTAGCTGCTATACAAGGAATGTTTTATAAGAGAGATGAATTTCATTCTATTCAGCTCTTACAGATATGGAAGYTGTAAAATATGGAGCAGGGGAAAGAGGGATCAAGCACAAAATGATAAATATTTAAAATAATCTACCCAGTATGTTTGTAGAAAAGACCAGGACTTAAGCAAAACCAGCACCCACGTTTTGGGATGCTATGCCCTGTAGTCCCACCTGCTCCCATTTCTTTAAGCGTAAGTCAGCTTTTAAAGGAATTATTTAAACACTTTCATGACTGGGACTGAGAGCAGGATKCTCTCCAATGCTTCCCAAGCACTCAAGCCCTCCTGGTGCAAAGCTGCAAAGAGCTGTGAATGGATGTAAATGGAGACATGAAGTTCTGACAGCTGCCAGTCTGGCTCTGTGAAGTTCTTGYTTCTGATGCAAAGAAAGAATCTGGGTTGGCAGAGAACAGAATAATTATTTCATAAGGTCATGAAGCCATCGTGCCTTTTCACCTTAAAAGATCAGCCCAAGTCTTTCTCATCACTGTGAAATTCTTTCTGAAGAATAGCAGAGAGGATAAACGATAAGCCATAACCAGCCCTGAGTGCAAACCTTTCTGTATGAAATCTGAGAAGGGCAGCAAGTGGGACGGAGGGGGCTGGGTTAGGGCCAGCTGGCTGCTCCAGTAGATACTCAACTTCTGTTTGGATTATTTTAACCTGCTGCCAGAAAGATAAAAGCTGAACATTAGCCAAGTGTCTTAGGTTCAGATCAGCACTGTCCAAAATCCATAGGAAGCCCGTTTTATTTTCAGTAGCTGCGAGGTTTTGTTGCTCGATGCACGTGTAGCAGCCCCTCCGAGAGTCACTCTTGTCCAGCYTCTGTGTTTAAATAACGAGAAGAGTTTCTTCCTATGCCAGACTCTGGGGAACGGTACGATCGACAGCCACATTGAGCTAACATTGGATAACCCCTTCCCTAAATCTGCGGAACCATCTGGGGCTTCTCAATATGAAAAAAGGAATAAATAATTCGGGGATTCGGGGCCGGTGCGGGGGATGCTATACCCGGGACCCACTGGTTGGGCAGCCCAGTCCCCGAAGTGCCTTGAGGGGAGAGCGGGAAAGCGGCCGTGAGGCTGGGGCTGGGGCTGGCCGGGCCCCGGTGCTGTCCCCGCGGCACTGACCCGCTGTCCGGCCCGCAGGGGCGATGCCCGCCGGTGTCCGGGCGCTGCTGGCGCTGCTGGGGCTCCCGGCGCTGCTGGCGCTGGGCTGCGCCGCCGACAGCGACTTCACCGAGGGCAGCCCGGAGCGGCGGCGGCCCGGCCCCGGCCCCGCCTGCCCCCGCGACTGCGGCTGCACCCAGGAGGGCGTCGTGGACTGCGGCGGCATCGACCTCAAGGAGTTCCCGCTGCTGCTGCCCGAGCTGACCAACCACTTGTCCCTGCAGGTAAGAGTGTGCCTCCATCGCCCACCGTGCCCTCACGGCTCCTCCGAGCCTTCCCTCAGCCCCTGGGAGCAGCAGGTGCAGCAGGCCCGGCTCCTGAGCCCCATAAATGTGCCTGGTTATCGGCATTCTCTCCCCTCAGGACCAGGGAGGGCAAAAAGAGCTCCACATTTTCGTGCAGCTCCATGAGAAGAATTTTTGGCCAAAACCGACAATTTCTTGTTTCTTCTTTGGCCAATGAAAGTTTGTAGTGGAGGCCTTTCATTTTGAGTGTCTTTGAAGGTGATAGGCTAAATGACTTTATTACCGAGAAATTTTTGGATGGCAAGGTGTGTTAGTTCAGGTGTTGCAGATGCAGTGAGACAGGCCAGAGGCAGGGCCAGCCATCTCCCTCAGTGTCCCATCTATCCCTGCTGCACACGGACTCAGCCAGGAGCAGGCGTGACATGGCCAAGGCCACCCATCACCCTGAGTGGCACTGCCAGTGCTGCCTGTGGCCACCASACCACTGTCATGCCTGCAGTAAATGTTCTGCTCCAGACTCCTCATGTCTTGTGATAAAGAAATGTAAGATGTGAGATTCCAGCCTCAGCAAGAATTGGGATGTCCTAGACTTGTCAGCAGGTTTCCATGCTCTACTGTTAGTTAATTGATCCCTGTGACCAGCATTTGGGCAGATGTCCCTTCCCTGCCAGTATTCTGACACCTGAAGGGCCAGAGCATGTCAGCCCTGTGGCTCTGCTCCTCAAAGCAGTGGCAGTAGTTCAGCTTTTCAATGCCTRGCCCTTCACCAACTGCTTTTGGTTTATTGCTCCCATCTGTCAATTCTCTCCAATGGATAAAATGCAGATTTTGTTTGGAGCTTTTCAGTTAGAAAAACRGTAATGTAAGCTGGCACCTTCCTCAGCAGATCTGTCCCAGGCSTGTGCTAGCCATGGCTCCTGCCTCTGCTGCCAAAAGAAAAGAAGCTTTCTGGAGCTGCAGCTGCCACTTTCTGTGTACTGGCCTGGCTTCCAACACAGTGGGTCCTTCACTGGTCCCATGGATTCTAAAACTAGAACCATTGATTCTAAAACTAGAACCATTCATTAATGGTGATAAAGTTAGTCAGCATGTCAATGAAAATCTGATGGCAGTCACCCCTGACAGCAGGACCATTGAAAGTGAGTCTAATTTGATGCTTCCTGCCTGTAGCTTTTAAACAACCAATGAAAAACAGAAGCCGTAAACTTGGAAATCCACCATGCCAACCTTGTAGCAAATGCTTTGCTGCAGCYATGAGAGTTTGGCTGTGGCAGATGGATTGTGGGCCTTGCCCGGCATAATCACACTCTTTATGTGCTAACGATACATAAACTGGATATTCTTGGAGATGAGCAGAAGTTGGGCTTTCAAATGCTGCTGGGTTTGGATGTTTTGGTTTTGAGATCTGAGTTTGGCTCATTACTGAGAGAAGTCTTGACAAGGATTTGACATGGTGGGTTCGCTTCCAGATTTTATGAAGTTCTTAGTCTGGGTTTACTGGGATCCTTCTTGGATTACTTTGCTGATGATTAATACTCTCCATTTTCTTAGAATAACCAAATAGAAGAAATCTTTCCAGAAGAGCTTGCTCGTCTTTATAGACTGGAAACTCTCAATTTGCAAAACAACAGGCTGACTTCAAAAGGTGAGCCACGGGGTGGACAGAGCCTGTGCCTCCAGAACACCAGCTTATGCAATGAGGCAAGTGACAGCTGATAAGGAAAGCCAGAGTGATGGATTGCCTTGGTTGGAGTGGCTTGCTGTGAGCCTCACTCCTCTGGCCACCACACAGATCATGGAGACACTTTATCATCCGAAACACAATAGTCAGTGTAGAGGAATGCAGCCCTGCTGAACCAGTGGAGGAGACCTGGCAGCAGCTTGTGTACTGTGGCGTGAGATCTCCTCATCCAGGAAACTCCCTCTGGTCCCACAGGCACTTCCATGCAATGCACTCGAGAACCAGAAACATCCACATGCTGAATGATTTCCTCCTGAATGACCTTGTTTGGTTCAGTCYTGTCAGTCAGGGCAGTTTAGTCCAGTTTTGTCCTTGTCAAATTTGGTATGAATTTATAGAYATATTGCAAATAAAGATGTTTCTACCCTTCTCAAACCATTTTGATTTTTGCAGGCAGGTTTTGCTTGCTCAGTCTTATGCTTATTAGAGAAACTTGACAAGAGGTTAGTAAGGAAAGAGAAAGAAACAGATGAATTGGAGTAAATAGTAAGAGAGGARTAGAGTATGTGGGATACTAAAGATGTAATTGTTATTAATTCATATGTCACCCAGTTGATCTCTTTTTATCTTTATTGCACTGATAGAGAACAAAATTCATTGCAAATGTGGCCACATTATACTTGGGCCCCAAGGCAGAGCACTATTCCACAGCAGAGGAAAGGCTGTGCTTARTATGTTCAGCCTTTGACATTATTATCTTTGGGCCTTCACGTTTCTTTCACAAGCTTCAGGGCAGCCCTGAGTGTCCAACTCATTTGGACATGGGAAATAGTTTCACCTTTGACTCATGGTTATCTAAGTGCCAGGTGAAAGTGTTACTTCCAGCTTTCCATTGTGACAGCAACTCTGGTCGAGTGACTCAGCTGGAAATTAATAATTATTGGGGGAGGATAAGCCCTGAGTTGGTTGCTGTTTGGATACTTGTATTGTGGGGGAGCAGAGCAAGAGAAGGGTTCTGACATGCAGATACTGGGCTTATTTTGGCAATATAGTTGTCAGGTTGAGCTGATCATTAAGCAATCTCAGATTATGTCCTTGCAAGAAAAAAGATTCRCAGTATCATACGCAAATTACAGGAGAAGGTTCTCAGTGAGGTTGCTGCAAGCACTGATAATCTGCCATAGAGCAGATCTGCACAGCTCTGTAYCTGACCCTTGTCAGTGGGCTTGGCCACAAGCCTTATATGCTCAGGATTTTAAATAGCCCTCCATTGTCATAACTGTGTGTATTGTTTGTTTTGGTTTGGTTTTTTATTTTTAATTAAAAAGACAACAATAGGTCTGAGTCAGATGCTTTCAGCGAAATAAAAAGTGTTTCAATCTCACATGAAAGATACTGAGAGGGAAAGCTGCCCTCTGGTATTTTCACTCAGAAAGGCAGTAAGGTGCTAATGTCACTGATTAATTATTTCTGTTTTTAAGGATTGCCAGAGGAAGCATTTGAGCATCTGGAGAACCTGAATTACCTGTACCTGGCAAACAATAAGGTAAGAGGCTCTGAAGCCTTTCCGAGCTCTTTTCAAATTGGGCTTTGAAAATTTAATGAGCRAGTTGTCAATTCTTTTAAAATGTATATACTACATAAGTAAAACTGTGCTAAAGTGTATTCTAATACAGGTTCATCTAAGGTCAAAACMGTATGTGAAAAATTTAGAAGCTACACAGGCAGGTATATTTTGAATACTTATTTATTTATTCACATGGTGTAAGGTTATCCTTGTGTAGGGACGTAGAGAGTCCCTGGATGCATAAATTACCACTGTTGGKCTTTGGATCAGCTGCAGCTGCAKGCAGATTTCGTTCCTGCCTRTATRTGGAGTACTGATGTGAAATGTTGCTTTATCAGATGAGGCTGATTGAAAAATTTGTGAATAAACACATCCCAGTACCGGTGTTTGAGCCAGTTTTCCCTGACTCCCATTCCTGTTATGTTTGATAYGGGGATGATACCTGCACACAGTGAAACTGTGTTATTAGTTTATTCTTTTAGCTGCAGTGGTAGGAGCTGAATTTCTTCTTTTGTGGGAGAAGATCCCAGGTGCTTTCCTGGTAATGACCCAGGCTGGATGTCTTGACAGAAGCACAYYTTTCYTGCCATGGCCAGGAAATGAAATAGYTTCTCATATACCCTTGCAACTGGGTGGTTCTCATTATGGCTTTCTTTATCCCCAGTGATTGTCCACAAATATTTGCTACAGARGAAACTAGGATCCACAGGAAAATAYAAGTTAAAACATCAGGCAGAGCTTCTTTGTCTACAAAAATCCCACCCTCTCTCACTGCATGTCTGTATATATATTTTATTATCCTCTTAAAATCTGGGACTATTTGATGTTCTGATTAAATACATGTGTCCCCATTCAGGTTTCAGTCAGGCCAAGACACATCCAAATCACTCCATACATTTCTGTATTGAGTGAYTGAGAATAGAACCCATTCCTTAGTACAGTAACATTGTGTTCTTTTCTCTCTCTTTTCTCTCTTTCAAGCACCATTTCCATGTAACAATCTTGGCAGTTAATAACTCCATAAAAAGGAACAAGCCAGACTGTGACTAATATTCCAGAACCTTGCACTCTGATTTTCCCTGTGTAACAAAACAAAGTGTTTGGTTTTTCTGGCTTTGCTGCAGAGAGAAAAGAATCCCAAAAGAAATTGCAAACATCAGCGAATGTCAGAAGTAGTTACAGTGAGAAGTTGTGGACCCACARAAATAACACATTTCTTTATAAATCACAAGCCAGGACAAACCAGATTGGCTTCAAACTGCATCTCCTTTGCAGCAGGAAACACTGTGGATCAAGTTACTGTGGTGTCTGGAGGAGAGCAGGGATTTGCTGGTAGTTTGCTCCTTGTTTTATGGATTATCTTAAAGCTGCTTTATCTTCCATTGTGATCCCATCAGACATAGCTAAATCAACTTTCATTAAACTGGCATAGTTGGTCAGAGAAAAGAAATGTAAGAGACTAAAATCCTTCTGTGGCCTGGGAGTAACAAGTACTTCAAGTAAAGAGCGGATGCTGTAGTTGCCTTTTTAATTTTTCACCTCACTCTCATAAAGAATGCACAGTAAACCTTGTTAATAAGAGAAATTRTTCCACCAAACTATTGGGTGGTTCTCAGATCCTGAGCTGTCATTATTATTTACTATGAGCTGGTGACGGGTTTACATTTCCCCATACCCTCAAAGTGATATGGGATTCAACTGAATGCAGTACTTCTCTTTTTATCAAAGCTTGATCCAAGCAAGAGAAATGGTTTCAAAAGTGCTAATGACTTTTGTATTAACCTTCTGAATACATTAATTAACAGTGGAGAAACACACTACCATACAGGAGGGAAGGTCCAGCAGTAAAATTGATAGAAAATTGCAGCTGGACAAATGTAGATTGCTTTTTGTTAGGCAGTAAATTATCAAGTCGACTTTATTTTTTCTACCACTTAAAATAATCCATGAATCCTTCAAGCAGGTAACCAGGGAAGATCAGTCTCATGACCAAGTGCTGAAATGCCAAAGTAAATTCCTGAGCAAAGTGAAAACTCCTTTTGGATTAAACTCTTTTCTCTTTCTTGTGGTTCTGATGTCTCTCATTCCACAGGTCTGAGCCATGCCCTTGTTTTGTATAAAATTTACGACTTAATTGACTGGAGAAAAGYTTTAATGTACCACTGTGTATGAAAATGATAAGTCTTGTTTCCTGTGTCTGAATTGTCAATATTATGTCATGGTAGAGACTTATTTCTTTCTGAGGCATTGTCAAACCTTCTTAGTCAGAGATGTGTTCTTTTATTTCCCTGAATTCATCTCTCCCAGATCAGGAGGTGAGAGATTAAAGCCAAGAGCAACTGCAGTAATATGCAGAATGCCTAATTCCAGTGCTCACAAACCATCTGGAAATACTGATAGGAGAGTGATTTGTGGGAAAAATATTTTTTTAATGTTTAAGGCAGGCTAAGGATGGAGGTTTTGGGACAGTTGAAAATGAAAAACAGTAAATAATGTACTCATTTTTTTTTAAAGACTGTTTTATGAGTCCAGTAAATTGGAAGCTCATGGATGGAGTTCATCAATGCACACTTGACAACAGCAGTTGAGAGGGGTGTAGACACTCTTTAGATAAATACATAGTTAAAGGCTTGGGTTAGGCAGTTCTCCAGTAAAGTGTCTGTTCTCTCACACAGTGTTAATATTTTAAATAGTTTTGGTTTTACACTACTATTCATAACCAACTGCAGTTTGATGGTAATAAAAGTTTGAAAAATATCTTTTCTGATCATGTGAGTCTTGCTGTGCCTTGCTGGCTGAAAGGACCAGGTTTTGTTTCACACAACATGGCTGTGAGGAGGATTACAGGTTCCATGACTTTCGGGCTAGAAGGCAGAGCTCTKCCATTGCTCCAGTTTCCCATCCTGATCTCAAAGAATTCAGTGTCTCCCTAGGATAGTTGTTCTCTCCCTTTGGAGCCCTTTGGAGTGCATGGAAAACACTGAGTGGTCTCATTAGTACTGCAGTGAATACCTGTAACCAGGGTGGCTGCATCTGCTGMCTACAATTCAGTGTCTTCTCTATTCAAGGATCATCTGTTACAGCACTGTGTTAATAGTTTATTTCCCAAGGGCTTTATTTTTATCCATAAAACKTGTGGGTTTGTGTTTCCCAGAAAACTGTCCTCCATCCAGCCTGGACTGTAATCTGTACTCTTGGTTTCTATGAAAGACTTTGCTATTAACAACCACTCAGTGAACCTGGCTGTTGTATTACCTGCRTGTCCTGTAAAACTGAGCTTTTTTTGATCATTGCTTTTCACTCCTCTAATTTGCTCAGATGCAGACATTAATTTTTAAAATCACTGGTAAAAATAGCAATGGATCAAGAGCAAACACACTCAATCCTATACCTGTTGTCAGCTATAAAGTTTTGGAGACAGGGTCTCTGTATTTCYTGATACATCACTTGTTTATTACACAAAGTATGGCTGTACAGGAGGTATTTGCTTTGAAGTGCCCTTTGATATTCCATCATTTGGCTCCTTGTTCTTTGGGAGCCTGAATCCCCCTTGCAGAGATCATCATAAATGGATGCAGTGGAACAGAGGTGTGAAGTGACACTTCCCCTCCACAATACACTTTCATAAGAGAATAAGCAGTAGGTCACTGTGAGGTGGGCTGGAGTTGTTTGGCACAGCAAACTGAGGAATTAGGAATAATAATAAGCAAAGTGTTTGCTCTCTGAATAATAATTTCTTGATTTCTTCCACTAAAAAGAGACAGGACCCTTCCAACCAAAACAAACATTTTCATATCTTAGAGCAAAAGTCTGTCTCCTTCCTGGAGAGATTAGTGAGTGAGGACAATTTGTTTTTGTTCATGCAATCTACTTTCAGCTTAATTTATCTTTGCCTGTTTAGGGAAGATAAATTTGCAAGTGTTTTGCTGCTGGTCTAATACTTGGTTAAAACATTTGTTGCATTTAATTGGAACTCCCCTGTATATTTCTTTTACAGCTAACAGTGGCTCCAAAATTCCTTCCAAATACCTTGATCAGTGCAGATTTTGCAGCCAATTATCTCACTAAGATATATGGGCTCACATTTGGACAGAAACCAAACTTGAGGTAAGGGACTGGGAAGTAAAACAATACTGGTGTTCTGCCACTGCTTGGATGCAGTTGGTGGGCGATAAGAAACTCTCTGGCTAAACTATATTATTGCCCACTTGTGTTTTTGGAAAGCTGTTTATTATTCTCAGCAAGAAAGATCAAACAAACACATTCCCAGSGCTTTTGCTAGCTGCCAGACACTTTTGCAAATATAAAAGGAAATTATCTCAATTTTATTTGTGTATCAGTGTTGAAGAGAATAGATTTAGTTTCTCAAAATGGAGATTAGCTGTTTAGAAATCTCTAGTTTTATTATAGTTCATTAGTTTTTAAAAGTAAAATCAGGTGGAGAGTMCAGTACTGAGAGCAGTAGAACTCAATTCTGTTAAAGGTAAGCACTTCAGCACCTGCAGAAGGGGTTCATASCCCAGAACTGCTGCCAAAGGTCTCTGCTATTTTCAGGTTGTGGTTTTCTCACCTGGATCCACAGTAGCACATCAAACTCAGAGGCCCACAGAACACCTCCTGTGAGGTATGGGCTTTTCTAAAGGGGTTTTGAGTAATCTGCAGCAGCCAAACACTGCACCATCCACATCTTGCAAAGACATCCCAAACTCTGCTGGGAGCAATTCATGCAGCCAAGTTTGGAAGCTGTTGATTGTAGCTGACCCAGCTGAAACCCCACAGCCCAGTCTTGCAGAACTCTCCCTTCCCACTGAATCCATTGAGAGCTTGAGCTGCTCTGCACTTCCTGGGCCTTTAGTCTCTCAGACTCTTGGAAGCTGAAAGGGCTGAGTCACTCACAGGTTTCTGGCAATATCTCATGATGAAAGAAGCTAGATTTATACATGTTTTTTTCCTTAATTTGAGGTGCAGAAAYTGCTGTATTTTGATTCCGTATTGAAATTATTGACTCTTCTGAAGTGTTTTCCACACTTTCTTATACCAACACTAATTTTAATCATAATGGGAACTCACTGATTTCCAAGATTGTTAATATAAAATCCCAACACATTGTTTCAGTTGTTTTGTTTATCCCCAGCAGAGTCCATGGTCTCAGACTGATTATTTGGAGAGTAAGTTTTTCAGAAAGGCAAATATTTGTGAGTTAAAAGTACAGCTGACCATGCAGGGTAAACAATACTTTCAGTGTAGCTCTGAACTCCCTGGAGTGTGTGATCACACAATTGTATTTCCATACTGAGCCTTTCCTTCCTTCCAGAGGGATGTTGCCAAGTTCTCTGCAACTGGTAGAGAATCCAAGAACAAGTTAAAAAAGCACACTTTGATACTTTTGCAGTTTTAACTTGTCTCTACAAATTTAGCTGCCTGCTGCATCTGGCGGTAAACATGGGAAAGGAAGAGGTAATCAAAATCATTAAAAATCTATCATATCTGTTGTTAAAAAGAAGTCACATTAATTTGTGTTTCTAAGTTCTGCACAGTCCCAGGCTTGCAGTCAAGGGCACTTGTGAAATTTGTTTTCACATGCAGGTTTGGTTTTTGAATTTTTGGATTTCTAACTTTCAGAAATTATTTGGGCCRGCCATTTGGTTTGACATCTCTATCCCTTGCTAAATTAAAGGGCACATTTTAAAAACGAATGTAATTATCTCAAGGAAAGAAGAAAAGATTGAAATTAAGTTTTAAACTAGCTTTCTTTCAGTAAACAAAAACTCCAGATCTCCCTATCTGTWAAACTTCATATTTTATTTTCTTCCAACAGATCTGTGTATCTTCATAACAACAAACTTTCAGATGCTGGGTTACCTGATAATATGTTCAATGGCTCTAATAATGTGGAAATACTCATCATGTCCAGCAATTTCTTGAAGTATGTTCCAAAGAATCTCCCTCCAGCACTATATAAATTACACTTACAGGTAATGACARCAAAGTTTTGTAATCCTTTAGGATTGTGACTGTGTTTGTGTGGGTTTCAGACCACAAAGCCAAGACACTCTGGTGCACCAGCAAACATCCCCAGGCCATTTTAAGTATTGCCTGCTGTATTCTCAACAGTTGCTGTCCCCATGTCCTGCCTTTTTTGTCCATAAGCAACAGTGTGTTTTTGCAAATCACCAGAATCTCACAGGGGACAGAAATGTTTTTTTGTGCTTTCCAGGGGATGTATTGCAAACTCCTGTGTGGTTGCATTGTTGGTCTCTTCCCTGCATGTAACAATATTAATACATACTAGAACAGGAAGGAACATCATTCCACAGCCATGTCTCCATGACCTCCCAGTGAAGTTTGYCACTGATGCCATTTTCCCTGACAGCTGTTTACCCACTCTTTACTGGTTTTGCTCACAGACCACTGTTTCCCACCATCCGTGTCTCCTCCTTGCTACTGAACTGGCAATTCAGTTTGGATCAGGCATTCTCTACTGCTACAACTCCAGCAACAATACAWTAGCAGAGTTGTGCTATTAACTACTCTCCAGTATTTTTAATTCCATGTCATCTGATCCTGATAAAAATGCTTCATCATGTGTGTGCTGGAGATCTGAGCCTTAGCAATGGGAGAGCCACAGYGATGGGAGTGCTGGGTCCGCTTGCTCCGAGTGTTGACAGCTCCTTGGACGTGCAGAAACTGGAGTCTGTTATCAGCCCTGGACTGAGGCAGCTCTGTGCTGCCTCCCAGCTCTCTTTTCCCTTGAAGGTTTCACCAGAATTCCTGTTAAAGCCTTCAAGAGAATAGGCTTCTCCAGCTTGAAGAAAAATAAACACAACCAGTGCAATCCTTTAAATTGCTGGAATTTCCCTGCTAAGGATAAACTTTCTTATCCCCTGCATTTTTTTATGCTTATAGGTAATCATTATCTCCCAAAGGAATCTCACACTTGGAGGATTACACTTTGAACTTGCCTCCTTCCCTGCTGTCCCCAGTTGTGTTAAGGGCAGAAGAGATGAGCAGAGAAATGAGTGTTTTATTTGCAAGTGCACCATCTGTCAGTAGTAATATTACCTCAATATTTTGACTGGGATAAAACAGGACAATGAGAAAGGAGAGGCAGCCAACAGTAGAGCAAAAGTGTCTGAAGGTGTGACATTAGATGTGATTTTTTTCTTTTACTATCCATTGAGACACTCAGCCAAATCTGTCTGTGTTGGTTTCTATTTTATATTAGTTGGCAAATGAATCTGATTCAGTCTGTCCATCACATTATGATGCCCCCTGAAATATCTTATGTCTAGCCTTTGTGAAGTTTAATTGCCTGTGTTAATTGAGCAGARCCCAGATGTTGTGTTGATTCATGCCAAATACTGTTCTTTGTGCTTCTGGTGACTCTAGAGCAACAAACTGGAGAAGATTCCCAAAGGAGCCTTCAGTGAACTTGCTGGTCTGCGGGAGCTGTATTTGCAGAATAATTACTTGTCTAATGAGGGAATGGACAACGAAACTTTCTGGTGAGACTGAGATGTGCAGTTTGTACCTCTGTGTCTGTCTGCCCCGTCTGGTACAGTCATTCATCTACTGAACAAAGTAAAAMGCAAAAAGTAAAGTTATTAAAAGCTGAATAATGTTATGCACGTCACAGCTAAGTCTGAGATGCACATGCTGCCATTCAAAAGCAAAGGTTTGGTGAGTGGTTGCAGAATAGTTTCATACAAAATACAGAACACTGAACATCAAACTGCATGACACCCTGCCTGCCACAGGCCCAGACACACCAGGTACTAAGGGCTTTCTGGGAAAAGCCTCCTAGAACAACACTGAAAGCTATTCTGTCTTCTTCCAAACCTGGGATTTCTAGTTTCTAGGGCACTTCACTGGGCATAAAAGCTAGACCTTCACTTGTGTGTTTCAGTGAAGATAACAGCAGCCACAGACACGGAGCTGTGAATTCCCCGTGCCCAGCTGTACCCCAGTGCAGGTGGCTGCTGGAGCAGGCAGGGATGCAATGGTGCTGCTCAAGAGCCAGATGGCTGCAAAAGCTTTGCTACCAACTGGTGCAACAGAAATAGCCTTTGGCTGTCYTAGATTTAGCCTGGGACTTTGCACTTTTTTTACTGTCTTTTCTCTGCTTGCRCTGAATGCTATGCTTGTCTTACCTGAAAATCCAGACCACACAATTGGTCCTACCCTTAATTCAGTTCTGTACACTCTCCTGATCTCCAGATACAAAAATGTACTGAACTGTGCTTTCCTTTTCCATTCCCCATTCTTAGAAACCTCTCAATCTCTGTGTTGAGTTCACCTCCAGGTCATGTTGGATGTAACATTTCTGTTAAGATATTCCCATCTTGGAGAAATCTTACAAATTTGCAGCAATGGAAGTGTTTTACCTAAAGGTTATATTTGTTCAGTCAGAGCATGCTTGGATAGGTGTGAACAGCAGTGTAGTAACCAGTAAGTAATGTCTGTAACACATTAGTTCTCATGTTTCCTGAAAACTTTCTAGTAAYCTGCARTGGGTTATGTAGTGTCAAGTAGATYAAAACTCTCATTTGAACWGAGAAACTGAMTTGAAATGCAAGGGAATACAAGGATTCCTCGGTCCTGGCATATAATACCATTGATCCACATCCAGTTGGTCTAAGTGGCTGGTCTGAGGATTTAATTTAGCTTCAACTGAGACCGTGGAATCCAGATTCARTAGCTTACACAAAGCAGCTCTAGCCTTGACTCACTTCCATAATACTGGAGGTCAGGAGAAGTTCACTACCTTAGCCTGGGAYACTGAGTTAGCGTTTCTGCTTTTCATAAGAGTAACACTTCCTCATCTAGAAAGCAGACCTGCTTTTCAGATTCAATATATACTTTCAGAGAGATAGAAATGACTTATGGTCAGGCTTTGTTTCTGTGAAACTGAGAGCTAAACTCTGTTCTGGTGGTGCTCCTATGGCATCTTCTTTGTGGTATTTGTTCACTAAAGTTGCTCATATGTTGCTATCTGTTGTATCAAATGAGAACACTGACKGCAAAACTGATGTCAGGCCTCAGCCCAGTGCCAGTTTGGATGTCTGTGAACTCTGGCATGTTCTCTTGCTGGTGTGGCTGGAGAGCAGTGGCAATGCCTAGTCCTAATCCTTAAAGGCAAAATGGGAACTCCYTGTTTGGGTGTCCACATCCCTCATATCATGAATGATAAAAGGACAGTGAGTAGTGACACTTATGCGGGGTAAAAAGGCTCTAAAGCAAAGATTGTAAAATCTTAGAGGAAGTTGGTTGTTGTTTCACCTTGCAGAATCTAAATGGAGAGTGTTTTCTTTCTTGCTTTCCCAAGGAAATTGTCTAGTCTTGAATATCTGGATTTGTCCAGCAATAACCTCTCACAAATCCCAAGTGGTTTACCTCGAAACATCATCCTCCTCCACCTGGAGAAGAATGCAATTAAGGTGATTGACAGAGATGTCTTGACCCAAATTAAGAACCTGGAGTACCTTTTGCTGCACAATAACAAATTAAAAGCCCGAGGTATTCACCCCTTAGCCTTCCATGGCTTAAAGAAGCTGCACACTGTCCACCTGTACAACAACATGCTGGAAAAGATCCCCAGCGGGCTGCCCCGGCGAGTGAAGACACTCATGATCCTTCATAACCAGATCTCAGAGATTAACAGGAATGACTTTGCTACCACTTACTTCCTTGAAGAGCTGAACCTGAGCTACAACAAGCTCAAAAGTCCCCAGATCCATCGGGAGGCCTTCCGTAAACTGAGGCAATTAAAGTCCTTGGATCTTTCTGGTAACCATCTCCACACAGTGCCCTTTGGSTTTCCAAAGAATCTGCAGGTTCTGAAGCTGAAGGAGAATGAGATAAGCATCATCCCAAAAGGGACTTTGTCTGGGATGACAAAACTGCGAGAACTGTATTTGAGCAACAATAAACTGAAAGTAAATTCAATTTATTCAAGAGCATGGAGAGAACTCAGCAGTCTTCAGGTAGAAACATCACCTTCTCTAATTATTTTAGTGATGCTGCTGTCCTCATCTGTCTGTGCAAATCAAATTATATAGCACCAATCCTAAACGTGCTTGGTCCTCATGTTTTGGGGTTGTTTCTAGAGCAGAAATTATGTGMTGTTATGCCAGAGGTGGGTACATTCCACTGCTGGCCAGGGTCCACTATGGATTGCTAGTTCTGGGAAATGTAAAGACAGTTTTGTTTATGAACCCTGGCAGTGTCCTATATTTTTAGAAAAACATCAGTGAATGTTGTCATTAAAACTGAAATTAGGCCTTTCAAATAGCTTGTCTCCCAAAAGGTTTAAAATCAGCTCTGAATAGAGACAGCAGGAGGAAGGAATGCATAAACAAAAACACTCTTAATTCTCAAAGCCCCCACATCAGCTTATAGTCAGACAAGCCAAGCTGTAGGATTTAGCAGCTCAGCTGGCTAAGGCACCTGGGGAGCAGCTCGGAGGTCTGGATTCAATCAGCAGTCTTCTCATTTGCTTAATTGTTGGAGAAAGTTAAACACAAACCATAAGGCRGGCAGGAACAATCACATTTGTGCTGTGCAAAATGACCTTTCAGAATTGTTACGCTGGCTGAAGGATTTGTCTGCATTTCCTTTTCGGCAACGGCCCCTTTCCTGCAGTGAAAGGTATTGCTGATGTCATATGGCAGCCATGGAGGGTGCATATGGTCAGGTCACTGCACAGGCAAAGTGTGCACATCTCAGAGCAGATCAGGRATAAGGACATGGAGCATATGTCACACTGGCCCCCAGTGTGTTTTCAGACAATCCTGACATTAATCTATATGAACATTTCCCTTTCTGTTGTGTCTGGGAATAACCAATAGCTTGTTTCTCGGTTAATGTCAATCAGCAAGGCAACAACAGTATCTGTAGGGCTGTTGGTTTGCACCAGCTGCAGATTTGGTCCCTGGCTTTAATAATATATTTTGCATTTGCTTGGTGCCTCATTGATACGTGTGTGTGTGCAAATATAACAGGCAAAGTAGTCTGGAARGAAGATGCTGTTGAAAATTACAGACTGCTGGGATTGCTTTTCTGCAGTACCTTAATAAAATGTAGGTTGTTTTATTTGTAAACAAGAATGGGTCATGAGCCCTGTTAGGCAGCTGGAGTTGTTGGTTGGAATGATGAGCTTTTGTTCTCAAAGGTCCTGATTCACAAATGCTTTGTGGAACTTTTGTTCTACTGTCACTCCCTTGTAGTCAGTGTCAAGCCAGATAAGGTGTTGCTGAATCAAACATTGGCCATCCCCACAGCAACCCCCACTCTCATTAAACAGGGTTCAGATAACAGCACAGACTTAAAATTCTGCTGGACTTACGATACAGTTATGGCTGTTGCTTTTCTTTGTAACAGCGTTACTTCTTGTTGGTTGTTTCTGGCTAAATCTTTTTTATCATTAAGTGCTCAACTGTGCTGTTGGTTTCTGGGTTGGTGCACYGGATAGAATTTGGCMAATMACCATCTCATAGMCCCTGATCATGAATRTACTTAGTGAATGCTTCARTCCACACTGTTTCCATGGAAATCACTGGAGACTCTGAAACTGCAAAGCGAGACATTTACATAATGGACTTGGCAGTACTGGGTTAACAGTTGGACTCAGTGATCTTAAAGCTTTTTTCCAACCTAAACAATTCTATGATTCTGTGGTAATTGTTTTCCAGACTGGCATTATGTGAGGAATAAAAACACTGGAATGAGGACAATTGTTTGCAGAAGTGTGGCTTTGAATAGTGTGTAACTAGTGTGTGCCTGGTTGGTGCTACGAAAATGCTGCAATAGAGGATAACAAAACATTTCTCTTGCATAAAATTAATCTGAGAAATCATCATTACTTTTAGTCCTGCTGTCTTTGTACCTTCTCCATGTTAGAATATTTCCAGATGGTTTTATGTGTAACTGTACCTATCACCARCCTTAGCCAGTGAAGTGTTTGCAGTAGCAGCTTCCAAGAAATTCCGATGCATATCTGAAACCCAGCCTGGATTTAATTTACTTAAAGCAGACATGGGCTAGAGGCTGGGGACAGAGATAAAGAAATGCTGGAACTCTGAAACAAACYAGCATGATGTCTCATGTGAAATCAAGATGCTCAACAGGAGTGTAAGAGAGTAGAATTGTCTTGAGCACACTTACCTTGATGCAAATTAGAGGTAGATTAAATTAGTTTATTCTATAATAAATATAGCTTCAAACTTAAATTTCTTTCTGGAGTGTTTCTAATATTTAAATTCAGTTATTTGATTCCTTTTTGTCTCTTCCTTCCAGTCACTAGACATGGCTGGCAACCAGCTGACATCTATCCCATTAGGCTTGCCAGAATCTCTGGAATATCTGTATCTCCAGAATAACAAGATCACAACGGTTTCAGAGAATGCTTTTGAATCCACACCCAACATAAAGGGGATTTACCTCAGGTAAGGTCAAGTTTCCAGTTCAACACACAAGCTTTTTTCCTTCTTCATCCTCTTTATAATTGCTTACTTTTWAGAAAGTATTTGAAATCCTTATTTTCTGAACAAGCATCTTTGGTTTATAGYAATATGTGATAAAACTATATTCATCTGCTCAGGAAAGACATGGATACACATAATAAGCTCTTTTCAGAGAGCTTGTCTTTTCTGTGCTTATTAGAACGGATTGGACATGCCAGTAATTCTGGCAAATTAATGTTTAACATGATGTCATATTCCAATATTAAGCTGTGAGCCRAAAGTTTACCGACCCCTTGTAGAAGTACAGCTTTGCCTGTGTCTGTTGGCCCTGGATTTTAACAAAATCCTCCTCCAGTGAGGTGTGTGTGACTAATCTTGGAGTTGTGTGCATTCCCTTGATARTTTTGTCAGGAACAAATGACAAGTTACAACTGTGACAGTTACGTAACTGAGTTTAGGAGCTTTGCTGGATTTTTTCCCACTCTGTCAGTTGGATGAGGACTTTGTTTTCATAGATGACAGATACTGACCTTTTTTTTACATATGATGTAAACTCACAGTAACAACTGATTTAAGCAGAGATTTATACCACAAGAAGTGAACATGTTCCCCTAATAGATTCAGTTTTAATCTGATGGAATATTATTGAAAATATTAATTTGACGTAATTTATGAATCCCTACAGAATATCTGATTAAGCTGATCCAATGGATGTATGCAAAAAGCTTAGCCTACACAAGACTAAATATGGTCTTATTTTGTCTGTATGCATCTGAACTGCCCTGTAATTCGAATAGTTGGAGCATACCTTTATGGATGACTGATTCCATACCAAGCAAATAAAATTACAAAGTCTGGTGTAAATTAGAGCAGTCTGTCTATTCAGCTGCTCACATTTATGAGATTTTAGTGAATGCTTGGATGTGAACCAGAAACCACATACTACATTCTATATTTTTATATAAAGGAAAAAGGAATTTGCAAAACAGTTTTGCTAACATATTCAGGAGGCAACCCCACCCAAGCTCAGTCGTATTTTTAATGGGAGGCCATTAATCACTGCAGTGCTATGAAACAATAATATATGTATGGAGTATTACAGAAAAATAGAATTTTAATCATGTTCAAGAGTAACAGACCAGTGTGTGTGACAGGTTCTTAAACYGCAGATTAGTTTATTTGTATTCCTGGAAACCCAAATAACAGCTGAATACTTATTGCATGCTGCTTTGTTTCTAAAGGGATACTTTGAATTTTTAGGTGAAGAATTAAAAGATCAAGGAATGACACAGAATGTCAGGAAAAATCAGTTACACTTTGAAATGTAGGCTGTGGACCAGATGCCTTTCCTCTCTGGGAAGGAGAAAGCAGAATAGCAAGAAAGAATTTGTGGGGGAGGAATTCCAATATTATGATTTCTTTCCCTWCCCCCATCCAGAGGAGTCAACACTTCTAGAGGGCTGTTGTGAGTCAGGGTAACTTRGAGTAACTGGGGTCAGTGTAAAGTTAGAGTAGCTGCAGAATGGTTTCCTCTTAGTCTCCTTATTTCTATGTTGGTTATAAAAATGGGTTTAACAGGAGGCCCTTTTTGTTTGTTTACAGGTTTAATAAGATTGCAGTTGGAGCACTGAAAGAAAGTATCTTCCAAAACCTGAACCACTTACAGGTCCTGGATATTGAGGGGAACCTTGAATTCAGCAACAGTTCAAAGAATAARGATGACTCAGAAGAGGAAATGGAAGATGAGGAAGAGGAAGAGGAGGAAGACCTGAGATAAAATGTGAACTCGCACAATCCCATCATGTGAGAGGTAACAGCTGTAGTTGAGTTAAATCAAGGCCCCAGTTCTCAGATTCTTATGTTTTCATAAGTCCAATTTACACACATGATTGAGGCATAACGAGGGTCTGAATCCTGAACTCAAAGCTTCCACTAAAACATGACTGGGAATTGCAAATCAGAAGGGTTTTGTAGAATGAGACACTATATATCTGTTTTATCAGAGGCAGTRGGCTGTTCTTATTGGCTTCTGTTTATAGCCACAGCAGACACGATAGTTAAAAATTCTGATAATAAAAATTGAAAAGGTATTTCATGATACTTTAAAACACTTCATTCAAAAGGAAAACAAAGAACAAACTGTGAAGCCTGCTGATGCAGAAGATGTGAACTGAAAACAGGTAGAAAAATAGGAGAAATTAAAGTAACATTGGACCCATTAACACTGGTGTCTGTTAATCATGTCATTAAGATTACAAATGTCGCAAGGAGTATTTCAATCACTTACCACTCAGAATGAAAAGATAATGCTGTAGTTATTGTATTTCTTAAGGAAAGAAGAGTGTCTCTACTTGAATATCTTTTCAGCTGCMGAGGAATAGATAAGGGAGGATGATATGTGAAGAATTACCATTTTTTCATAAGAATATATAATAATAGTGATCTACTTACTCCATCTCTTAAGCATCTTATGTTCAAAGATTGTGACATTCAGGACTGCTCTTTATTTCCRGAAATCTAAACTCTAAGAGTGGGTTAAAAAATAGTTTTGTCCCTAATCAACATTTTGTCACTGAGAATGACACAAGGAATTGCTAGGAATAGTGCTAATAAGCTTAAAAGATGATGAGGCTTGCAAAGGGCAGAAGGTACTTGGAAAGTCAAACATTAGCCCTCTTGGCTGGGCTATATGAAAACTCTGCTAAACAAGAAATAATTTATATCTGCAGACTTAGAGTACATTCAAAATCAATGCATCTTTGGTTTAGTTTGGGGCACATGTGACATGTCAAGCTTGTCTTATTCTGAATTCTGTATTCCATTATGTAACTTATTTTATTTTTCTGTTTTGCAGGAAAACATATGGAAAAATACATATATGTCTATGTGTATATATCTATGTAGATATACAGAGAACACTTAGCAAAACGTGCAATGAATTACGCAGAAACTGTCATGGCACTGGGCCAGGCTCATGGAAGACAGTGTGTTTCAGTGCCTTATTCAGGGAGAGACCCTGAATGCCTTTCCAAAGCTTCCAAATCATCTTATACAAGACCCAGGATCATAAGGGATTGCTCTGGAACTCACAAAAGCTGGCTTTTGTTTCTTCTGTTCTCTTCCCTCACTGTTTCCATCTGTAATAACAATATGGGACTGTTTTGAACACACGCCTTCAAATGCCATTTTTGTCACTGCATTTTAAGTGAACCAAGTTTATGCCTCTTTTCTTTTCCTCCACCCAAAAGAAGCTGTTGTTGACCAGGGTAGATGGACGTTTGCAGTAGTTTCACATGYAGAGCAGTGTATGAGGCATTTTGGTCATCAAACAGCAGTAATAATTCTGGGTGCAATTATTTCTTTGTTATAACAATGTGTATATTTGGATGAGAAAAACAAAATAAGGCTGGATCCCATAATATTTTATCTGTACTGCCAATGCCTGCAGTATATTCCTGTTTTAGAAAGGTTTTAAGAGAAAACAATTGCTCTTGTGAATATATATATACATATAATCTGTATGTCTGCCTTCCAGAGCTTTGGTAAAATTTCTGTCTTGCTGTTGTTTGCCCATGGGRCAGTTGGGTGAATGTCTCTGAAGGTGTGATCAGAGGATAGAGTGACAGTATGAAATTTAATGTATATGGTAGAATTTGTCACAGTGTATCTCATTCACATTGATTGTCAGGAGTGAGACTAATGATGTAGAAGAAATGAGTGAGTGTGGGCTGTCTTAGGAGAAAACTAAAAAGTGTCAAGAGAAATTTCTTTGTTTAGCTCAAGTCTGGAAACACTGCCTGCTGTTGTACTCCCTTAAAGTCACCCTATTTTATAACGTTGAGTGCTCTCAGCTCCTGTTGTAACCATGGAAAATAAGGAGAACAAGGAAAAGAAGACCTACAGAAATACAAGTTTCTTAGTTGGTTATAATATCCTTCATCAGGCAGCTAATCTGCTTGACGAAATGGTCTTTTCTTTTGAGGATTTCTGATCCTYAAAAAAACCCCAACATGTGTTGTTTTGCATACTGCATTCCAGGATTTACTTGGAAACAGTTGCCTTAATTTTTTACCAGCTGTTTTCCTTCTGGAGCTCTAGTTCCACACTCTCCCTTTGGTTTCTCATAGCACATGACAGTAATTTCAAGCTGTTGTTTTCTACCTTAGACAATTCAACACAATCATTAATCATACAAGGAAAGATTGCTTCCTGAAAAAGTAAAAGCTTGGCCCTAAAAATTGCAAAATCCACACATTTTTGAATATCAGCTATACAGCTGAGCAGTACAATAGCCTTCCAACTGACTGGTGGGATAGATTTTTATGTAAAATGTTTACAGAATGTAGCTCAAGGCAATTAGCCATCTCCAGCAAACASCCGTGGAAATTTTGCTAGTCTTTGGTGAATATGACCAATTTGTTAAACTCSTGAACAAGCTGAGAATGTGCAGATGTGTGCAGTTTTATGGAGAACTGTTCTATTGTCTTTAAACTTCAGTCCCTTGGACTATGATTCTGTGAAAAGTCATGTACCTCAGAATTCTCTGAATCCCTCGAGATTCTGATGCAGTGAATGCAGGGGTGAAGGTTCATTTGAGCACCTGTGCAATCAGACCCAAAATGTCAGGATGATACATAYACTGTTAAGCTTCTTGAGCAAGTGGCAGCCTTTGCTAAAGGAGACCCATCTACAGTTTAAGATACATATGGTATAGACCAGGTAAAGTTGGGAAACCCTTTTACAAGTTTATTTCAAAACAGYTGCACACTGAATGTTCTCTAAATGGGACAATGTTTTCCAGCTGGAGAATAAATCCCCAAAAAAAACAATGACTACTCTTCTCCAGTAAAAGTCTCAAATGYCCCAGAAGTGTTTGATAGTTCTGTAAGAGATTGAGGGAGAACCACAGGCCTGATTCCTCACTTATTTAGTAACATCAGCACCTATGACATTGGACTTAATATTGTCAGACCAAAATTATAGTTTACTTCTTTCTTTTAAAGGAGTCAGAGATGCCTTTTTAAAGGAGAAGGATGTTGAGAAATAGTCAAAAGTCCACGGGATTAAGCCCACRTATTTTTTTGACTCTGGGTGGTACCCATAATCCAGAAATCCAATCCAGGCCTTGCGTGGAGCAGGACTGGGGAACTGGCTCTAATTAAATTATTTCCATTAGTAAAAATGGGAGTTGGGAAGTTGGTCTTTGCTCCCACAAAGAGGCACAAATGTTGCTTTCAYGTAACTTTCTTCCTGTGATTTGCTAGGATTTGGGAAAGAGACAAATATAAGTGTTTAAGGCTGAGATAAATGTATGAACAGTGAAAACTTGAAGTCTARAAAGTCCAGTTGGCAATTTTATCCCTAAATATGCACTTGCACATGCTTGGTATTCCAGTGTGGTCTGTATGCAGACTGAGGTCTGGGTTTMTATGCTGTTTTTCTTTTTAAAGCCATGTTTCCTCATTACAGAGTACACTGCACAAAATGGGGGTAAATGGGATTTTTCTGAGCTATGATTTTTCACAGCAATAGGAGTACAAATGCAGCATGAGARCTATAAAGAATTAATCAGGTGCCAAAAATAGCCCATGGATAATGAGCTTTTATTTCAGGCGGTGGGCACGTAGCCCATCTGTGTCTGCCATGTGGACAAGCCGTTCTGCAGCCATTCATTCTCCCCCTCATCCCATTCCTTTGGGATCCTSGCCCCATGACCTCCCCTGGGATGTGGCACCCAGCGCTTACTCCCTGTCCCCTCCCGCCTCCTGCCCCACAGCGCCCTGCTCCAGATTACCCCATGGCTTRGGATTTGGGGATTTCTGGAGGAAAAGGCCCGCAAGAGCTCTATCTTCCCCAGTGGTTTTCCTTCCCCACACGGAGTGTTGCCCTTTGCCTCCCCGGGGTGCTG